TAGCTGCTTATCTCATTTCTAATATTTAGTTATTTATTTAACACCTTTCGAAAAATAGAGAAATACTTTCTTTTCAAAGAAAATAAAAAATCTTTTGTTTCTATTTTAAACATTTTTTTCAAATTTATTTTTTCTGTCAATTTTTTACTTTTCTTTGGTTTACATTAGCACTAAAATTTCCTTTCTTTTTGTATATTTAATCAAAGTTATTTAAATAAATAGAAAAAAAATTTTTGTTTCCAGCTAAAATATTTATTTTTTGCAAATTCAATTTTTTCCGGGTTTTTCCGGGCATTTCCGGGTTTTTCATGCGACACGACATTTTTTTCAAAAAATTCTCTACAATTCGTAGCTAAACATCTTTTTTCATTTCATTCACAACTATTAAATGAAAATTAAGTTCTTAACGTCCATTTTTTATTTCATTAAATTGAATTACCTGAATTAAAAAAATTTTTAATCAAATACTTTTTACTTATTTATTAAATTTTTATTTAATTGTTTCTTAATTTTTCAATCTTGTTAAATTTCTTTAATTTCTTCAGTTTCACTAATTTCGTATTTCAATTACAAATTTTTTAAGCTGAAAAATAAAAAAAATTTTACTATTATAAATTCTATGAAAATTATATCACATTTCAAGTAATCTGGTCATTTTTTCAACGAATATATTAGAATACGACCTTAACCTAATTTTTAACAAGAATTTTATTTTATTATTATTATTGTTATTGTTATTGTTATTGAAATAATTTGTAAATTTATATTTCTGGTTATGAAAATAATTGTCAATATTTTCAAAGCACGTACAAATAAATTAGCTGTAACAAATGTGTTCCTGGATGTTAACTGTTAAACCTCCCCCCTCCACTCCCCTCTTTCTCCCTCCTACTCCTCACCATCGAGTCAAATCTTTTTATATTGTATATTTCTCTCTCAATTTTCGTGGAACGAGATTATCAAAAAAATTTTTTCATAAAAAGACAATTCTTTATTATTTTTATGACATTCATTCAGTGCGAAAGGAATTTTTTTTTCTTTTTCAGCAAAATTTATATGGAAACATCAAACAATTTAAACAAAGTATATATAAACAATGTTTTAATTATTTCAACGGAAGTTTATCTCTCTTATCTTTTCTTGTTTATTTATCCCTTCTATTTTTTTCACACGCATTGTAGTAACAAAAAAAAATTAAAAAAAAAAGATGAATCATTTTTTATGATCTGATAATTTGAATTCCTTTTGTTTATTAAATAATTAATTAATAGAAGTAGTAAAAATAAATTTTTTTTAGAAATATTTAATGTGTTATTTTTATCTTTTCTTCTTTTTAATCGTCAATTACTTTTATAATTAGTTAATTATGCAATAAACGGGTGTTATTTAAAATTTATTAGTTCCACTTTTAGCGACTATTAAAAATTAAATTAAACGACTATTGATAATTATTATCTACTGATAATTATAATTATTTATTAATTAATTGTTTTTAACTAATAATTCTTAGTTAACTAATTATTTTTATTTATAATTATTTATTAACTAATTATTTTTAATTGCAATTATTTATTAACTAATTACTTTCAACTATAATTATTAATTTAATATTTATTTTTACTTATAATTATTAATTATCTAATTATTTTTAATTATAATTATTTATTAACTAATTATTTATTTTAACTATAATAATTAATTTCCAATTCATTTTTAACTATAACTATTAATTAACTAATTAGTTTAACTTTTAATGTAATTATTTTTACTAATAATTTATAATTAACTAATTATTATTAATTATAATTATTTATTAACTAATTATTATTAATTATAATTATTTATTAACTAATTATTATTAATTATAATTATTTATTAAATAATTATTATTCATTATAATTATTTATTAAATAATTGTTGTTAATTATAATTATTAATGAACTGATTATTTTTACTTTTAATTATAAATTAATAATAAATTAATATAAATTAATTTTTATGTGATTTAAAATTTTGTTAAACATTTTTGTTAAATAAGTTTGTTAAACAATTTTTTCATTTAACATTTCGTTACAAAAATTTTGTTAAACCTTCTTTTATAATAACTTTATGTAACAAATTATTCAACTATTTTTATGAAAATATTTTTTTTAATAATTTTATTGAAATTGTTTCCAAATAAATTTATTAAAGATCTTTGTAAATAAATTTATTAAAAGTTTTTGTGATTAATTTTTTTTCTAAATAAATTAAAAAAAAAATTTTTGTTAAGTAGTTTATTTTTTATAAACAAAATATTAATTTTATTATTTTCATTAACATTGTTTATTTCAATATTTACTTTTATCGTCATTAATTTTTATTATTTTATTATTTTTGAAAAAAGGGAAGGAAAAATTTAAGAAAAAAAAAGAATGAAACGTAAAAAATTCCTCTTATTTGCAATTACTACTAGATTGAATGTTTTACAATATGTGACTAGTCATTTAAAAAATTTTTATAAAAAGACATTCTACTTTTTTTTCCTCTTCTTTTATATTTTCTCGCAAGTCAAATAAAAAAAAAGCGTGAAAAAAATTTATTACGACAAATTGAATGTTAATATTGAACTAATAAAACGCTACATATTTGAGATAAGTAAATATAAATATAATGTGTAACTGGTTTTTTTTAAAATACAATATACTGATTATGATGAATAAGAAAAAAATTTCTCTAAATTCTCACTATTTAGTTTTCTCGATAAATATAATGACTAGGTAGTAAAAAATTTACAAAATTATTTTATTTACAAATAAAAAATTTACAAAAAAAAAAGTAGGAAAATTTTTTTTTCTATTTTTTAAAAAAATATTTTTACGTAGATTAGAAAAATGTTTAATGCAGACAATTATATAAATAAACTAAAAATTTTTTTTTCATTCCCAGACATAAGATAGTAATTCGAATTATCAATTTCATAAATCTAATCATTTGAAGATTATTGAAAGCAAATAGTATTAACTCTCGTATTTATATTATAATTTTTATATATCGGATATAATCATTATTTATTTAATTAAAAAATAATTCAATGATTTTTTTCGAAAAAAAATTTCTTTTGGTTCTGAATATCGAAATATTTTTTTAAAAAAATTTTTATGCTTAAAAGCAGAAAAATTTTTTTTATAAATAATTGTTCAAATTGCATAACTGAAAAAATTGTGATGCAAAGTGTGTACGGCAGATGAAAAATTTATCTTCGTCTGTTAAACATGTTCAGATTTTAACTTTATTGTTTTTTAAATTGAAACCGTTTTCTTTTTGCTATTTTAGTATTGAAAATTTTGAATTTATATTTTTAAATTATTTTTCGAATATTCGATTTTGATTTCTATAAATAAATTATGTTGTGCTGAATTTTTCATAATTTTTTATTAATATTAATAAGTTATAAAAATATTTTTTATATTTTATAAAAATTATTTTTCTGAATTTTTACAAATTTTTTATTTATTATTTATTTTTATAAATAATTGATTTTATTAGATACTATTTTTATTACAAAAATAATAATCATTATAAGTTTTTTTATTATTATATAAAAAAACTTTTTTTATATTATTATATTTTCATTTCTATTAATATAATTATTATTGTCATTATTATTTATTGGCAACTGATAACGTATCTTTCGAAAATTGATTTTAAATTATCTCCCTCGCAAAATTAATTTCCAAAATGTTTGAAAAAAACAATTACAGAAATCTTTTACCGACAATTACCGACAAATGCAGTTTTCTATCATTTCAGTGTATAAAAAACTGTTCTGAGCTATTTTGTTATTCTTTAATACGATAATAAGGTAATTTCCTCTCTAAATTAAGATATTTTGTTCGTATTTGCAATTTTTCGTGTGACGGCACGAATGTGCACTTCTAAAATTTCAATCCTGCTAATTAAATATCCAAAAATCGGTCTTAAATTGCTTCCGAAAATGCAAAAACTTTTGTAAACAGTTGAAAAAAACGATTACAGGAATCTTCTTACCGACAATTACCGACATTTTCAGTAATTCTTAATTTTGAAGAATTGTAGGAATCTTCTTACCAGAAATTACTAACATTGACAGTAATTCTTCATTTTGAAGCTCGTAATACCATTACAGGAATCTACGTACCGACAATTACCGACATTGACAGCAGCTCTTCATTTCGAAGAATATAATAAAATTACAGTAATCTTCTTACCAGAAATTACCGACATTGGCAGTAATTCTTCATTTTGAAGCTCGTAATACCATTACAGGAATCTACTTATCGCTAATTACCGACATTGACAGCAGCTCTTCATTTCGAAGAATGTAATATAATTACAGAAATCTTCTTACCAACAATTACCGACATTATCAGTAATTCTTTATTTTTAAGCACGTAATTACAGGAATTTCGTACCGACAATAACCGACATATTTAGTATTTCTTCATTTGAAGAACATAATATAATTTCAGGAAACATCTTACCAGAAATTACCGACATTATTAGTAATAATTCTTCATTTTGAAGTAAGTAATACCATTACAGGAATCTACGTACCGACAATTACCGACATTGACAGTAATTCTTCATTTCTAAGAATATAATATTAACTGGCGGTATTTTATCGCTCTGTAGAGTATAAACGACTAAAAACAGATAACTAGTGTTAATATCTTTCAAGGAGAAAAATTTTCCGATTAAAATCGGAGATAATTCCAATAAGAAAGTCCTTCCGAGGTTACCTATCCAAAATTTCTGGTTTTGATTGGGTCAACTAGAACACAATCTAAAAGTAGAACAAGATCCCAAGTATCAGGATTCTTCTAGCCAGAGTTTGGGGGTTTTACTGGGTCGACCAGGACATAATCTTGGGATGTTACAATTTTCAACGGATGAAAAATTGTCTAAACAATGTTTGAGCCTGATCAATCAGCAGCTTTTCCAAACAAGGTTCTGGAATATTAAGGAAAGAGTACACAAAATTTGATTAAAAGTATATCTTTAATAATGACTCATGCTGGATACAATTCAACAGAAGTTTATCAGTAATTAAATTAGTAGCATCAACAGTAACATTCGTAACAATAAAAACAGTAACAATTGTAATAGTGATACATCAGCCAACAACTTCAAAATTCTGATATTCACTCAAATCTCCACATTCATTAATATCACCCGGACTATACTGTCCCAATCCAACCAATTCGATATTAATCTTCGATTCATATTTCTTGAGTGCATCATTACTTCGCCTATCATCCCGACTCACAATTTCAACCATCCACGTTGCATAAGGACTCAAAACGAATTTTTCCACTAAAATTCCATCAATCCCTCTCATTTTCCTCATCCCATCATTGTACATCTTCTCCAAATTGTAACTCTTTGACATAATACGAAAAATTCTTTCCCCACATCTATAGTACGAATCCCCATTATGAAGAAGCTTTACCGAAAAACTCTGCAGATCGTGAGCAATCTCTTCAAGTTTAATTTCCGGATCTATTGAATTAATCCGTAGCCAAAGATCACTAAATTTGACCGCATTCCATTCTGTATGATGGCTAATGTTAGCGAAAAGTTTCACCCTCTTGCCGGTCAGGAGACCATCAATTTCACCACCACTCCAATTGTGAAAAGCTTGTATATCGTTACCAAATCTGGCGAATTTGATTTTACCACTGTCGATAAGTTTCCGACGATTTTCACTCAATTGCTGACCGTAGTTTTCTAGGTTCTCGGCTGCAATTTCGGCAAGTGTGGGAATATTGTGCTTTTTGGTTTCTTGTTTTTTGAAGAGGTGATGGAATTCTTTGTCGAACGGGAAAACGTATTGTTTGAAATTATACATCCACTTCTGATAATCGTCGATAATGTTATTCGAGTAGGATAATTGTAACACTTTGGCTAGTTCGAGACCAAGTTTCGCGTCCTTAACATAAGCGATGTCGAACGGTGGAAGATGTAAATCGTGTAAATAGGGAATTCTCTTCAATTCCTCCACGTGATCATGAAGCCTGTCGAATGTCTCCAAAACTTTATCGACCGCATTTTGCAATTCTTCCAAAACGTTTCTGAATAGTGGCAAGATTTTAAATTCCAGAATAAGAGTCTCTAGTTTTGTCAATATTTCCCTTAGGGAATGGCGTAGATCGAAGTGTTTAAAGTCCAAATAAGTGACGGCGGAAAAAGTTTCCGGACTCTCGCGCATTTTTTGAATCAGTGGCGCAAGTCGTTCATGCACCTCCTCATGGAATTTGCGAATCTTCAAAGTATCCTCGAAGACCTTCCCTATTTCCAAAGCGAATACCAACGAGAAATTGGATTTATCCAGTTCCAGGCTCGGAAGCAATTCGCCAACCATCTGTTTCACCCAGATGTGTACTTTCAAATCGGAGATCAAATTTTTCTTTGAGGATGTATTAGCGCTTTTCTCAAAATCGAGCTGATTGTTCAAAACGTTCACTACGTCCCACTTCATCAAAAGATCTGTAGATGCTTCTCCTCTTAAATGGGAGACGAAGTTTTCCAAATTTACCAAGTTTTTACCATCCGTTGTTGTTGAGTTTACTTCTCTAGTGATCTTCCCTAGGTGATGGAGACTATAGTCGAGAATCGATACCTGAACTCTCTTTCGTATCTGAAGTCGCCTTTCGAACCACCCCAGATATTCATTCAGTACTTTCGGTATTTGTAGTTCGATACTCCGATCAGATGAGTCATCGACCGGATCCGAAATTCCAGACCCAGTTTCACTAAATTTTAGGGCAAGTACTCCTAGACTTGGATTTATCATCCCTAGACCGGTGTTTAGAATTTGAATTACTTCACCAAACACCTTGCCAAGGAATTTAAGTCGTAAATTATCAATCAAACTTTTAGAACTTTTCCTCTTTGATAGTATATGTAGCAAAAGTGTTTCAATCTCACCGGTTAATTTCTGATTTGTTTGGTCAATTTGGGTTTGGATCTTCCCTTGAATTATGTACTGTGTCTCTTCGATAAGTTTCTCTAGTGATGGTCCAGTTTTGAAAATTTTCGTCTGAACCAATTTTCCTGCAATCTTTAGATTTCGGAGTTGTTTTCGAATATGGGGCAAGTAATCATAGAGGGTGTATATCTCCCGTTCGTTGATGTTCTCGATTCGTTCTATCTTCTCGGCTACTAGGTGATCCAGAAAGCGGAGGACGGTTGGGTATTCCTGTTTTTGGAGAAAGTGATCTAGTATTCCCTCCTTCCAGAACTGGTAGAAAAAGAGACCGTGTGATTTATTGACCATCAGATGGTACGCCTCCTCTAGATCTCCTAATTCCTTGACCAAAGTTACAGTATCGTATGTTTTCAGAATCTCCTTATTGATAATCATCTGTTTGTAAATTTCGATATAGTGAGATTCATGACTGTCAATTTGGGAGAAGACGAAAAGTTTGTAGAGATTTGCCAAATCACCAAAATACCGGGTCTTTAGGTCCCCTTTGCGTACATCGGAACCTAGCGTACTTAGATTTGCAGCACCGGGAATTCCATCTTTAGCTATCGCTATTGTTTCATTCAGGGGGAATTTAAAATTGTTTTCGTTCACGTTCTTCATGGTGACTTTCCTGGTCGATCCGCCTTTACCACCAGATCCGCCGACGCCGGGAATTCCATCGATGCCGTTTAGAGTCCACACTTTCACCGGGAAGTGAATACTGGAGCCGTTTAGGGAGACGAGTTTGTATTCTCCCGCACTGCCGCCTTTTCCATTGAGTCCTCCATTACCACCGTTTCCGCCTGGAAAACCCCTAAAGCCGTAGATAAAACACTCGGTCTTGTATGTCCAACCAAGTTGTTCGCCTATTAGGGAATCGTAGTGTTTCACAGTTTTTGAGGCTTCAGTTCGAAAAGATACCGGAGCGTAAGGATACCAATTACAGGAGTGTTTACGTAGGTTTTCCGTGATGTATTCCTCACTAGGGATTTCGCCCTCCTCGCCATCGACCCCATCACCACCGGATTGTCCATTCGATCCCCTGCCGCCATTCAGTGAAATCTTTAATAGTTCTGGATTGATGATGGTCTCCGCCAAACCGAAGAATCTTCCCGCAGCACCACCATGTAATCCCGCTATGCCGTCGGCACCGTTTTTGTTTAGTTTGTCACCGTTGCTGGCCTTTGATTTCTAAACAGTAAAATGATCCTTAGGGCAGGTAGTAGAAATAGTATAGTTAATGGAAATAGTAGTAGTCGTAATAGCAAAGCAAGTCTATTTTCTATTGCTGCGAAGCTCTATCAATGACCTGTTCCTAAGGATGAAGAATGATCTAACCAAATTTTACGGTTTTAGTGGGTCATTGACTTTACATTCTTAGATTACTGCAGGCTCCTAAACATAAAGAATCGTTTAGCTAAAGTTTGCGGTTTTTAGTTGATCGTCCAGGACATAATCTTGGAGTACTACATTTTTCAATAAACGAAAAATCGTTTAGCGAATGTTTGTGGTTTTTAGTGGTTAACCTAGGTCATAATCTTTTGAACTACAGTCTGTTCCTAAGGAGCAGACTAGCCAAAATTTGCGGTTGTAAGTGAGGTGTCCAGAATATACTCTTGGTATCCTACAAATTCCAAAAGAAATAGAATCGTCTAGACGAATTTCGCGGTTTTCAGTGGATGATCCAAGCTGTAATATTTGAATGATACAGTTCACTAAGGATGAGAAATCGTCTAGTCAAAATTCGTGGTTTTTAACGGGTCATCCGGGCCATAAACTTGGAGTACCACAAGTTACTATAGATAAAGAATCGTCTAGCTGAATTTTACTGCAGTTAGTTGGTCATTCAGGGTACAATTAACTAAAGACTCTTAAAAATAATGAATCGTCTAGCCAAAATTAATGGTTTTCAGCGGATCATCCAGGTCATAATCTTGGTCTTTTGCAGTCTTCTAATGATAAAGAAGCAACTAGACGAAGTTTTGGGTTTTTAGTGTATTATCTAGATTAAAATACTCGAGTACTACAGGGTCCTAGACATAAAGAATCGTCTCGTTAAAATTAGCGGTTTATAGTTGATTATCCAGGTCATAATATTAAAGTACTACAATTTTCTATGGTTGAAGAATCGTCTATCTAAAATCTGCGCAGTTTACTGGGTCATCCAGGTCACAATCTTAGAGAACCGAAGGCTACTAAGGATAAGGAATCCCTTATCCAAATTCTTCGGTCTTTATGAATCGGAGAACAAATCGACGATTCGGAACTTTCCGAGATGAAAAGTTCTCTAAATAATTAGAAAAGTAATAACAGTGGCAGAACTTACCAAATAATCCCCAATCGTCAAATTTCGGGAAAAACCATCCAAAACGAATTCCCTTGAATGAACGATCTCCCAAATCGGTGAGAATATCGCCACCGTCAATTCCTGACCCACTGCAAAAATATCCGCATCGATAATTACTTTATCAGCGGCAAAAATCTCCAGAAATCTTATTCCATTTCTCGTCTCATTGTAACACTTTCCATTCAGTACTTTACTCAGTTTTACCAATTTTCCCTTCACCTGTAAATTTTCCTCCCCACACTGAATTTTGGCACTCATCTTAATTGCATTCGATCTAATCGTATCGTAGGCAACTTTCATCATCATCCGATTTTCCTCATTCCAAGTTACCCTCCAATTGTACAACTCCTTCGAAAGTATAGCAATCTTTTTCCTCGTGATTTCCTCCGGTAAATCTTCAACTTCTTGGTAGATGTTTTTAGCCTCCAAATACCAATTATTCATTATATTCAACATTCTTTTGTAAATTTTCAGATTGTGGGTCCATTTTTCCGACTCGTTAATGTACTCGACAGTGGCGAAGACATCAAACCATGAATGGATGAAGCAAATCATGGTACTGTAGTTACTGATTCTTTTGGTGTAATTATTCACATTTGGATCATGCAAGAATTGAAGATTCTCTTTAAGGTTCTGAAAACAAAATGTAATTGCTATCTTGTCTGGTGTTTTTGTACAATTCAAGAATATTTCCAGGACATCATTTAGGTTCATAATCGTCTCCTGTAGGTTAAGTACTCCGGTAAGACTCCTAATTAAGTTTTTCCTTCTGGACAAAGCAGAGTCTAGAGCTAAACTCAGGGAATTCATACTATGGATTAATTTGACATTCACTGAGTTATACAAACAATCAGTCATTACTGAATAATCGCTTTGAAAATCGTGACCATTCAGATTAGTGTACCTAATTATTTCCAAATCCGCCACTAATTGTTTATGATCACCCAAAGAAAATCCCGTCACAATGAAAACATTCTCCTGCTTTATTAAATCTTTCGCCAATAATTTTCCACGATCACTTGTTGCATTCATCATACTCGTGTATCGTTCAATAATATCCAAATAATCATTTCTCTTATCCATTGCACTCTCGCCCTCAGCCGATGATTTCACCACTAATTTTCCACCACTCACTACTAGTCCACTACTCAATCTAAAATTCTCCACATTTCTCAATATTCTCGCCGTTACTTCGAAAATCTGAAAAATTTCCAATTCCCTCTTCTCAGAGTCAACATGAAAATTTTTATCAGCAACAGTAAAAATTAATTTCACATTAGAAATATTGTGCACTATTTCCAAAAGTAATTGACTCGTATAACTTGAATCGTGTAAAGTATCCCTTGGATAGGCAAAAAGAATTGTCGATTCATTTCCATATTTATAGAGATGAACATTATCGATAATTAAATCATAAATGAATTGATCATCATCATCAGAAAATTCATTTCTCAATTTTCTTGGTAATAATTTTTCATTATTTGACAAAAATTCACCTAATTCTTTAGCATCATCTGTATTGTAGGCAATTATTAAAATTAAATTCTTATATTTTAGATTAAAAATATCGTGAACTAATTTCAATTTTTGGGAAATAATTTTTGTCTTCTGTTCATTTAAAGCGAGGCAATTATCTACAATTTCATTATTTTCTGGACTGTCCACCTGTTTGAATAGAGCGAAAAGAAAACATAATTAATAAATAAAATGGACAAATATTTAAAAATATTGAAATATCAAAGAAAATATCGATCTATCGACCAAAAAATTGTCATATCGAACAAAATATCGATATATCGGACAAAATGTCGGTATATCGAACAAAATATCGATATATCGAACTAAATATCGGTATATCGAGCAAAAATTGACATATCGTACAAAAATCGATGTACCAGACAAAACATCGATATATTGAACTAAATATTGACATATTGAACAAAACAGCGATATATCAAACAAATAACAATCGATATTTCGTACAAAATTCGATAAATCGTACAATATATTGATATATCGAGCAAAATATCAATATATCGAACAAGAATATCGAAATATCGAACACAATCGACATATTAATCAAAAAATTGTGATATCGAACCAATTATCGATATGTCTAGCAAAGTAACATATTATATAGAAAAAAATATCGTATAAAAATCCTACAAAATATGAATAATAATAATATATATAGCTTACCTCTGAATCGGGACACAAATTAGAAAATGATAAGAAACTTTGTGAATATTTCGAAAAACTAATATTTGGTAAGAATAAACAAATTAGTAAAATGGCAGAAATTTTCATTTTTCGCTTTCTGAAAAATTTTTTTTTTCTAATAATAAATTTTTAAATTAAATAATATTTTGCTAAAAAGTATAAATATATAAAATGTTTTTGAAAAATAATATTTACATAGTAATATTGTTATTATTCTATAAAAAAAACAAATATATTTAAAAAAATGAAAAAGTAAAAAATAAATTTTATGAAGAAAAAAATTCTGATCTTATTTTATCATTTATTTTTCAATTTATACAGATTTAAGTATATATTATCATATTAATTAAATTAAAATTTATTAAACACTATATTTACACAAGTGTTGACCGAAAAAGAAAAAAAATTTCTATTAACTTTGTCTTTTTCTTTCATGAACAAAAAAAAATTTGAAAATTATCATTTTTTAGATTTCAATTATTATTTTCAGCTCACATACAATTGACAAATGTACAAATTGGAAATTTACATTTTTCTATCAAAGCAAATAATGAAAGAGAAAAAAAAAGTTTTTTTGTAATATAATTGTTAACATTGTCTTGATTTTCTTTTCTTTTCGTTTTTTATCTATTATTATATGAATGTTATATTATTTATTGATTCTGGATATTTTTCCAGTACTTTTTCAATTTTTTTTCTACTTTTAAAAGCAAATTTTAATTTTATTATGTCGTAATAATAATTACATAAAAAATTCTTTTCTATTTATTTTTTTCCATAGAATTAATTTTTTCCTTAGGAAAAATTAATGAAAAAACTATTCCTAAATTGATAATTAGAGAGAAGCCACAAAATTTTATTATCATTTTTGAATAATTTTTCTACAAAAAACAAAACTAATTTTCTTTAAATAAACAATTTTTATTGTTATTTTACAAAAAAATTCATTCAACAAATTTATTAGTTTATGTACATTTTATTTTCTTGGAAAGTAAGATACCTACATATCTGATGATAAGTTGAAAAAAAATTTGTTTCTCTTATCGATAAATACTCTATAAATTAATTAATAATCGAAGGTTATAGTATAAATGGTCATTGAGCCGAGACAGTAGATCAATCAATTAATAGTCGATAAATCGATAAATAATCGATAAATAAATAATTATTCGATAAATCGATAATTAGTCGTTTTATTCATCGATTAGTAAACGATAAATCGATTAGTTGACAAAAAAATCGATTCACAATCAATAGATCAATAATAAATGTTCGATCGATTAGTAGTCGATAAATCAATATATTTTCGATTAATCGATAAAAGTCGATAAATTGATTAATAGTTGATGAATCAATTAGTCGTCGATGAATCGATTAATAATAGTCGTTTGATCGATTAGTAGACAAAAAATCTATATATACTCGATAAATCGATTAAAAGTCGATATATCGATTAATAGTTTATAAATCGATACTTAGTCGATATGACAATAAATAATCGATAAACCGATGAATAGTCGATAGATCGTTTAATAGTGGATGAATCGATTAAGGGTCGATAGATCGATTAATAGTCGAGTAATCGATTAGTAGTCGATAAATCAATAAATGAACGATAAATCGATGCATACAATTAATTACAATTCGTTTTTGTAATATTTCCTTAAATCCGTTTGGCAGACACTTAAATTTAAATCGCTATACTGTCCAAATCCAACTAATTCAATATTAATTTTTGTCTTATATTTTTCTAAATTTGTATAATTTTTATCGACATCACGACTTATAATTTGCAATGACCACGTTGCATATGGACTCAATATATAATCATTCTTAATTTTCTCCGCCGGTATCATTTTTAAGATTAAATTATTGTTATCATCGTAGTATTCTAATTTTTCGTCATTAAATATTTTTTCAGCACGATGTCTTTTCGAATTAATAAGAAATATTCTCTCATCACAACGATAATGTGAATCACCATGATGTTCTAATGTGAATGCAAAACCTTTTAAGTCATTTTTCAATTGACGATTCATTTCCTTATCGTCGACATTATTATTACTACTCAATCGTATCCAAATATCGCTAAATTTAACGGAATTTAAATTTTTATGTTCCGTTATATTTGCGTGAAGTGTTATTTTTCTACCCGATAAAAATTTATTAATTTCATTTTGATATTCACTTGTGCACCATGTGTGAAATGGTGGTAAACTATAGCCGAATATTGTTGAGACGGTATTTTCAAATTCACGTAATTCGGCACGTTTTTTATTTATTTTCGAACCGTAGATTTCAAGACGTTCGCCAGCGTCTTGGGCGCGGACAATTAGATCATCGACAGCGGGTATTGATGAATCGTAAACACCGAGGAATTCATCGGCAAAGGGGAAAATGTATTGATTGAAACTTGCCATCCATTTGGTGTAGTCGTCAAGAACAATGTTGGCGAATGATTGTTGAATCATTTTTGCCAATGAGATGCTTAATTTTGGATCTTTAACGTAGGTGATGTCGAAGGGGGATAAGTAGAGATCGGTTTCGTAATTTGCGTTCTTCATTGTTTGGACGTATTCCTCGATTCTTGTGTAGGTACCGATTATCATATTGACGACGGTTTGCATTTTTTTCAATGTCTTATCAAAGTAGGACGACAGTTTGAATTCTCTAGCAAAGTAATCGATTTGCTGGAAGACATTCTGGAAATATTGTTCCATTTGGAATTTCTTAAAGTCTAAAAATGCCACTGATGATGAATGGAAGTTTTCGGCTGTCGTGTGTTCGTGGATTTTCATCAGGAGGGGGAGCATACCCTCAAGGACTTCTTCCTTGAAATTCCGTAGTTCTCGGGTTTTGATGAAAGCCTTCTCGATTTGGTCGCTGATGCCGTCGATCTTTTTTGGATTCTTGAGATCTTGACACTTACTCAAAACGTCGCCTAACATTTGCTTTAGTCTGGTGTAGGTTTTTAGGTGATTGATAACTTTCAATGATTCCGTGAAGGTTTTCTTTGGATTCTTATTCTTTTGTTGCCAAGCACTGGATTCGGTTTCGAGTTGTTGATTTAGGTTCGCGATGACGTCGAATGACTTGTCATTCATTTGGGTCTTTAGGTCCTTGAAGGTTTTCTCGATTTTTTCGAGTGGTTCGACATTTTTACCCTTTGAGACTAGTTGACGACGATTCTTCTCCACGATCTCAAGGTTCTCGTCGATGGTCAACCTTTGGAATTCGCGTTTCATGTCGATCCAGTTGTTGAAGAATTTTTTTGATTTGTCTACCATGTTTGGAATCATTATGTCGATGTTTGTGTCCATTGTGTCGTCGAGAAAGTTTTGGACAATTGAACCAGCGGCACTAATTTTTGTGCCAATTGTCGCTAGGGCGGGATTTATTATTCCTAGGGCTGTATTCAGAATAGTGAAGATTTCATTGAATGTCTTGATTATTGCCTTCTCTTGCATCGATGATGATCTTCTGACCAGTTCTGCGGCACGTTGGGCTTCGATGTTTGCCAATTGAGCTATTCGTCGAAGAAGAATTTCCATTTCTCCGGATAGCTCCTCATTATGTTGGGTTAGATTCATTTGCAGATCGTCTTGAATTATTCGCTGGGCTTCTTCAATTTTGTCATCATACTCGTCCGTGTATTTTTTATTCATATTCTTGATGACGACAACAGTTTTCGCGTTGTGTAGATGTTGTACCTGTTGCTGTGTCTCCTGGAGATAATCAGCCAACTTGAATATCAGAAAGTTTTGTGAATTTTGGAATAGACGTTTCACCTTTTTTGTCACTGTACTCTGGAGGGTACGTAACACTTCACTGTATTCATCACTCATCTCATTTGTTTTACGATTTTTCGAATAGTGAATCAATCTTTTCTTCCAGGACTGATAGAGATAGAGGGTGGTGGTCTTATTGTCCATCTTGTAGTAGTGCTGCTCTAAATCGATTAGTTCATCAACAAGTGTCAGTGTATCGTACTCCTTCAGAATGTGTTCGTTATTGATAACTTTTTTGTAAAGTTTCATAAACTTATTTCCATTTTGGCCAATTTCAGACAAGATGTACCGCTTGTAGAGATTTGCGGTCTGGCCATACGTCTGTAGAATCGGACGATGGGGAATTAATTTCAACCCGATGATGCTGCTATTCCCGCTTCCCTCATTACCATCCATGGCACGATTGTAGGTTTCATTTTTAGTCACCGAATAATCAAAATAGTTGTAATTGTGAAATGTTACCTTCCAGGTGTGACCTCCCTTACCGGCAGAGCCACCCAAACCGCCTTTACCGTCTGTACCATTCGCCAGCGATAAATTTACTCCAAATGTTGTGGAATCGTCAAATGGATAAAGTTTGTAAATTCCAGCCTTTCCTCCCTTTCCGCTAACACCACCTTGACCCCCATGTCCACCCGGATAGCCGTCTAAACCAAAAATGTAGCACTCCTGTTTGTATTTAAGCGGTATCAAGGTACCAATTAGTGGAACGTAATATTTCTCCCCTTCAGGTTTTCCGATTTGATAAATGAATGGATTGCTCACTGGCCAAGAGCAACGGTGACGATTTAAATTTTCCTGAATAAAATAGGTACTTGGGGTTTCTCCATCATCGCCATTTGCAGCGTCACCACCATCTTGTCCATCTGAACCATTACCACCATTTAGAGATATCTTCAGATTCTGTGCGTTGATGATTGTCTCGGCGAATCCAAAGAATGTCCCTGCAGCGCCACCCGATACACCTGCCTTTCCGTTTAGTCCATTCGGATTTGTAACCTGGTTTCCGTTTCTGGCTTTCGGATTCTGTAAGCAAATTGTGATGGGATTAAGTAACAATGCAAGGAGAAGCGAATCATCCAAAAAGGGTTCTTAAATTCTTTTTGCCAGAAGGTCCAGAAGGTTTAACGGTTCGAAAAACCATTACAGGAATCTTCTTACCGACATTGGCACAAATCTCGAATCTTAACGAAACGAAGGCAACCGGAAATCTAATTGAAGTACTAAAGTACTCCCAATCAATAGAAACATCGATTTGGAGTATTGAAATACCTCCAATCAAAAGAAAAGGTCCAAAAAAGTCAGTTACTACTCACCAAATTGCCCCTAATTTGCTCTCCAGGAATGCCATCCAATGTAATTTGTCTACTATCCACAATTTCCCAAATAGGCGCGAATATAAAAACATCCAGACCATCCACTCTGCCAATTAAGTCCTCATCAATAATTATTTTCTCCAAAGCAAAAATTTCCAATATTTTAAAACTCTTCCTAAACCAATTACTGCTCATAATTTTACTGAGTAATAAAAATTTCCCCTTGACTTGTAATTTCATTTCACTATCAATTCGTTGATACGTATAATTCGCCATCATTCTCACTGAATTCGTTTTTATTGTTTCGTGAGCAATTTTAGCAGTATTTACATCATGAAATGTGATCGGATCCTCTTTTAGATTATTCAACTGATTTTTTAAATCTCTATTAGTATCTTCTTCTGACACTTCCTGAACACCATTGTATATCGAGATTAATTTCCGATACCAATCATTCGTCCTCCGGAGAATCGTAGTATGAAAATTTCTTAAATCCTCAGTCCACTTACTGGAATCAAGTAAATATTCAACTTCTGGTAACGTTATAAAAGATGCTTGCTGAACTTCACAAAATAGGGACAAGTAATAATTTGCTGACGCAATGTCCTTTGTTCCAATTTCTATTTGCTGGAAATCTTTACTTAATTTTTCAAAACACTGCTTTAGTGGTTCGACATTTGTGCTCTTGGTGCACTCGAAAAATTCCGTTAGACTCCCAAAGGTTTGGTTCAATTTCGTCGATTTTGCGAATATTCCCGTAAGTGTTCTTGATTGGTTCGTTTTGTCCTGGAGGTTTAAAATTAATGTCGATTTTAGTGAATTTAACGCAATGGTCAATTGATCGTTAGCTAAATTATTAAGACAATCAAGATGAAGTATTTGTACATTTTGAAAATCGTAATGATTCACTGTCGCTTGGCCCAAGGTGTTCAGATGTTGAAAAATCTTTTCGTACTCAATTTTCGTAAAGTCGGTGAAAATAATATTTCTCTCTCTATTCAGTATGAATTTTACCAGGATTTTTTCGTTCTCTTGGAAAATTTTCAAATAGTTCTGAATAATTTCAATGAATTCCTGTTTGGTGATTCTCGGGGTTTTTAGAACGTCGTTACTTGAACTATCAAATTGCCCCTTGGATTTATCATTTACGGTTAAAAAATACGTAATACTGTATTCATAACTTCGCGGATATCTTAAAAACTTTGCTGCAATTTTAAACGTTCCCAGAATGTTATTTTTATTCCCCCCTGATAAAATATTCGTCGTTAGGATAATCTTCATACTTTTTGCTGCCTTTACGATATGCAATGCTAGAATCTCAGCTAAATCGTTGTCACCAGTTTCTTGAGGATAAACGAAAATTGTTTGATTCTTCGATGGATTTTCGTAGAGATGAATATTGTTTAGGATGAAATCGTAAGTGGCAAGTTGATCATTGGAAATGTTTTGACGATTTTTTTTTCGTTGTTTTAGATTGTTGCTTGAGAGGAATCTTCCTAGGGAAATTGCGTCTCTAATGTTGGACGATACGATTAGGATGATTTGGGAATATTTTAAATCGTAAATGCTGTAGAGCATTGTTAGATGATTGTGAATATGGTGATTGGAATCCTCTAGGAGATTGGTGCATTTTGACAGGGTTTGATTTTCCAGCGTCTGGTCATTCTGAAAAGAAAAACATTTTTAGTTATTATTTATTGTGGGGACAATTTAAATAATTAACATTAGAGGTGCATCTGAATCCTTATTTTCTTGGAATCTAAACTATATCTAAACTATATCCAAGTCTTTACCTAGATAGCAGATACCAAATGGTCATCTGTATTTTGTCACCCTTCTATTGAGTCCCTACCTGTCTGATACAGGTGTTAAAAATTAAATGAATAATAACAATCTGACCCCAAAAATAATAAAAGTGGGAGGCATTACGTAGTATCCCTTTGCAAAAGGAACCTATAAGAGGTTCCACGCTTGTCGAATTCGTCAGTCCAGGAATCGCTACCAAGTTAACTAGTTGTGTACTACCCCCAAGTGTCTTCTTCGTATCAGTCCAGGAAACGCCATCAAGTTAATTAGTCAAGAAGTCGCCACCGAATCAACTTAGTATCTTCTTCGCGTCAGTCCAGCAACCGCCACCAAGTTAACTAGTTGTGTACTGTCATCCAGTTTGTTTTTCGACTCCCAGAAAATCTTTTCAACTACTAAGTACCTTCTTTGAGTCTCCTCTTAGTCAAATTCATTCAAGGAGATAATTTCTAGTGCGAGGTACATTTCTATTTTTCTAAGGACTGCATTACTTCAACATCAACGTCAAATAAATAATTCGGTCACTCCTAGGCTGAGGGGTGTTTTATCTAATTTACATCGACACCTGGACTCCGGACCTTTCACTTTGGGTGTCTCGAAAACGATTTGAGGGAAATCTACTGCATTCTCTGTTTTCGCTAGATAAAGTTATTTCCCCGACCTCACAATGAAGGAGGTATTGTTGTTGGGTCTACAACTCTAAGAATAATTTTAAAAGGTAAGTAACTAATACTATTAAATTTTTCCCCCCTTTAAATTCTCGATTGATTCCACAAGGTTCTAATTTTGTTTCAGTGTCCCTGAAGACATCTGGATCTACTCTTTCTCTCTGATTCTAATTGTAAAGGATTCAAATAAGAACTTTAATAATTTAATTTCTATTTAACAGTTACTCTTTCTTAAAATCTGTCCCTCAATATCAAAGCCTTCCGCTTTGTAAATAAATCAGGTTTGAACCACCGATGCCGGACAATTTAAATATATAATTTGAGATATGTTAGTTTCGTTCTAAGACATAACACTTCCAGGAATTTAACTGTTGAAGGGAAATAAGGAGGGAAATTAAATAAAAAAATTAAAGGTGCAATTAAAATTAAAGATGCATCCAATAAGAATTTAACTCTTGGAGTCATTATGGAGGGAAATAAAATATAAAAAATAGGAGGTGTATCCGTAAAAAAACTTTTGGCCATTCCAATAAAATTAATAAATATATAAATAAAGTAAATAATAAAAAGATACAAACTTACCGTTTCCTTGACACAAGAATTTGGTAACGAAAATAAGGTTCCACTAGATATTTGTAAAAATAGAGAAAAGAAAATAAACTGTTTCAAAATTTCCATTTTGTTGTGTTTACTTATTTTATATTCTTTAGTAATTTTTAATAATACTACTAAAAATGAATTAAATATTTATTTTCATTTAATTGTATTCCTTTTAAATTTAAATAATTATAATTATTATTTATTTAATATTTATTTTTATGAACATTTAATTAATTTATATTTAATAACTAAATTATTTCAGTAAAATCATCTAAAACATTATTCGTTTAAAACAACAAATAATAATAACTGCCGTACATGGCCAGTGATTTCTAATTTATATTTAATTGATTCGATCAAAAGAAATTTTCAAACAATAATCATCATTTATTCAACTGTTTTCAATTTCAATACACGTTCGTATCGTATTTGTAAGATTTTCGAAATATTATCAATTCGATATCATTTAATACTTATATTCCCATCTTTTCACAAAAAAAAGAATTAAAATCAATTATTGTTGTCATAAAGGACAAATAAAAATACAATACATACACAATTATTGAATTTATTATTTAATTGTAAAATAAAACAAAAAGATTTTCATATAAAAGATTATTTTTTTTTCAAAAAGAAATATACAATTTTATAATAAAAGGGATCAATTTTTTTCTCAGGAATTGAAAGAAATGTGTTTGAAAAGAATAATATATGCTTTATTTCAATAAATAATTACAAAGCACATCGCGGATTTATTTTATTGAGGAAAATTATATAATCTGTTTTTGAGTTCTTTTATTTTTTTAGATGAAAATTTCTGGTGATATAACACTTTTATGAAAATTTGACTTATTTAGATTTTACAATAAATGAAAATTAGGTAAATTTCTATAAATTATTAATTTAGTTATATGACATACGACATTTACGTCGTTCTCTATGCTACCATGCTATATAAATCGGAAAATTGCTTCCCCAGAAGGCCTCATGCGTAAACGGTAAGAAAGAACAATTACAGGAATCTTCTTACCGATAATTACCGACAATATACAAATTTGCAGTAATTCACCTTCTTATGAAACCCTTAACGTCGAAATATCTAGAAATCGTTTTTAAAATGTTTATTTATTTATTTACCATAATAAACGGGACATGCCCTTTCGTACAAAAGTACTTAAAAGAATAAAATTACAATAGTAATTACAAAATTTTATAACTAAGATCTAGGCTGGCTCAACATTATCAAAACTTAAGACTATTCTACGCAATGCTAAGGTAAACCTCTGTAAATTATTATCAAAAAAATTAATTCGATCTGAGATTGTATTAGCCTCTCTACTAATCGATTACAAATAAGTTCATTATTTCCATAATTCGTTCTATGAAAGTTTGCTCGGAAAGATACAAAATGTCTAGTAATTCTAGAGGGAACAGCTAAATTGATCATTGATAAAAGAGCAGGACATAATATAAACCCATTCAAAATTTTATACAAAAACAATAAATCATTATAAAGAAATCTTGACAAAACCAAAGGAACATTTAGCGAACCACGAAGATCATTATAATCATGGGTATGACTGTCAAATGGTAAATTAAGTTGCCTTGCAGCAAACCTCAAAAATCGATTTTGAACTCGTTTAATTCTAACAATGTTAAACACATACATCGGTGACCAAACAACAGAAACATACTCAAGAATCGTTCTGACAAGCGTAAAATACAATACTCTTAACACATTAATATTATGAAAAACTGATGCTATTCTCATTACAAATCCTAAAGATTTAAGGGCTCTCGAAACCACTCCAGATATATGATCATTAAAAGAAAAATCATTGTTAAATAATAAACCCAAATCTGATATTTTAGTTTTTCTAATTATTTCTTCACCACCAATTGTATAACAATATACCAATGTATTTCTTTTTGAAAAAGAAATAACACAACTTTTATTGATATTAACACGTCATATAATTAAGGGAACACCAATCAAACAACTTGACACCTGTCAGAAAGATAACTTTTCAAAAAACAAATAAAATCAACAGGCATGCCCATAACTTCTAATTTTATCAGCAGAACATTATGTTCCCTAGACATTTTAGTTCATTAAAGACTGAAAAAACGATTATAGGAATCTTCTTACCGACAATTACCGACACTATCGACATTTGCAAAAATTCACCTTCCTTAATAACGAAATATTCAGAAATCGTTTTTAAAATATTCCCTAGATATTTTAGTTCTTTAACGACTGAAAAAACCATCACAGGAATCATTTTACCGACAATTACCGACATTATCCAATTTTCTTCCTCAAGGAAATAAAAATATTTTACAGGAATCTTCTTACCGATATTTACCGACATTGTCAAAAATCCTTTACAGGAACCAATCCTGTTAGCGACTCATCTGAATATCGGGTTTAATTACTTTTTTAGCTGTTCTGTTTACTGAACCGTTGGAAAAAATGTTGCAAGAATCTTCTTATCAACAATTACCGACAATACCGTTGAAAGCACTTTTACAGAAATCTTCTTACCGACACTGTTGAAAACACTCTGAAAAAGTCTTTTAAGAGTTCATTTATTCTTTTTTTCACTTCAATTACATTTTTACATAGTACTTTGTCAAATTAGATCTACAAATTTCCAACGGACGATCTGTATATCGACCAAAACCCACCAATTCCAAATTAACCTTAGAAATATACTTGCGTAACATCTTAAAATTCTTGTTAGCATCTCTACTTATCAGCTCAATTCTCCACGTTGCATACGGACTTAATAAATAGTCGCCCTTCTGCTTTCCAGAGAACCCACCATTATTATCATTTTCACGAAATTCATCATCATCCAAAGCACTATAGACCCTCTCGAATAGATAACTATTCGTTGTTATTAGATAAACTCCATCGTCACATCTATAGTACGAATCACCTTCATGCACCAATTTAAAAGCAAATCCCTTCAAGTCATTTCTTAAATTCTCATCACCGATATGACTTAAATTCGCCAAACGAACACGTAGCCATATTTCTCGGAATTTTACAGCATTCATAATCTTGTGTTGAAAAACATCGGCAAACAAAGTTACCGATTCGCCCTTAAGAATACGTTTAATTTCCATCTTATAGAGACTGTTGTTCCAGATATGAAATGGAGGTAGATCAAGACCAAATTTACCAGGATAGGTTCTTTCGAATTCAACAAATTCTGCACGTTTTCGTAACAATTTCTCCTCTAGATGATTCAGATGCTTACCGGCCTCTTCGGCTCTTGCTAGAATTCCATTTAGTTGTGGTAACACTGAAGAATCGTAGTCTAGAAAATCATCAGCAAATGGGAAGATGTATTGTTTGAAACTTGTCATCCATTTAGTGTAGTTATCCAAAACGTTGTTGGCATAAATTGTCTGGACCATTTTTGCTAATGCCATACTCAGTTTTGGATTTTTGATGTAGGTCAGATCGAATGGTGCCAAATAGAGATCGGACTCGTAATTAGCTTTCTTCATAGTCTCCACATATTCCTGAATCCTTTCATAGGTACCCAGTACCATATCGATAACATTTTTCATATTCCCCATCGTGTCTTCGAACATAGATTTAAGTTTGAACTGCCCGATGAAAATCTCTAGTTTTTCCAACACCTGTTGAAAATATTCCTTCATCTGAAATTTCTTAAAGTCTAGATAAGCAACCGATTCCGTTAAATTGCTACCCAAATCCGTTTCATCGCGTATTTTCCGAATTAGTGGCATCATCCTCTTATAGATATCCTCTTTGAAATTTCGTAAACTCACCGTCTTTTCGAATGCCCGGTGAATTTCTCCAGTCAACTCATTCAGATGACGTGGATTTCTGATGTCATCAAACTTCTCACTTAGATCACCTAACATTTGCTTCATTCTCGTAAAAGTTCGTATTTGTCCAATCGCTTTCAGTGCACCATCGTAAATATGCTTTTTACTCAAATTCAACTTCTCCCAAATTGTTTTCTCCTTCGTTAATTTGTCATCAATCTTTGTCTCTATATAATTCCCATCGAGATTTTGCAGAGAAGATGATAAACTCTCAAGGGGTTTTACATCACTCCCATGTTTTACAAGTTCCCGTTTCTTTGAATCAATCAAGTCGAGACACTTTGCTAGGGATATTTGTTCAATTTTTGATTTTAAGTCCACCCAATTGTTGAAGAATTCTCGGGATCTGTCGACAATGCTGGGAATTGCGACCTCCACAATACTTGAGTCTGCAGTTTCGTCTATGAAATTTTGAACAATTGAACCAGCAGTACTGAACTTGGTGCCAATTTTACCAAGTGCTGGATTAATTACACCAAGCACGGTGTTTATCATTTCGAATATTTCGTTAATACCTTGGGCCATTAGACGACCTTCCATTCTTTTGGATTTTTCGGAGAGTTCTTCGGTACTTTTTCGTTCCCTTTCGGTTAGACTCATTATTCTTCCGAGGAGCATTTCAGTCTCGCCTTTTAAATTCTGATTCATTTGTTCGATATCCTTGTGTAGTTTTTCTTGAATTATTTGCTGTGCTTCCTTCACTTTGTCATCGTATTCTTTAATGAAATTGCTATTAATTTTTTTGATTCTCAACACGGTTCGTGCGTTCTGTAAATATTTGGATAATTCATTACATTGGGATAAATAATCCGCTATCATGAATACCAAATGTTCTTTACTATTTTTCTCAAGTCGTTGAATTTTATCGGAAATTATTCTATTCAGATTACGGAGTAATGCAGTATAATCCTCGCTCTTCTCGTCTTCTTTTCGATTCAAAGAATAGTGAATCAATCTTTCCCTCCAGGATTTGTAAATGAATATCGTCTTCTTCTTGTCGTCTGTTCGGAAATAATATTTCTCCAAATCAATAAGTTCGTTTACTAAAGACATCGTATTGTAGGTGTTGATAATCTCCCTGTTGCTTATCATCTTCTGGTAAAATTTAACATACTTGTTATCAATTTGGAAATTTGCTAAGAGATATCGTTTGTAAAGATTCACCGTTTGGGGGAATGTTTGCTCCACGTTGGTAAATTTCTGTATTTTAGTACCTAGAGTACTATGGTTATTCTTTCCGATTCTGCCATCTCTGGCTCGATAACACGTTTCGTTGTTGATAATTTCGTGTTCGAAATAATTTTTATTGTGAATTGTAACTTTATGGGTGTAACCACCTATTCCGTTTTTACCACCAATTCCATAAGTTCCATCGGTGCCATTCTGGAGAAATATTTTTAGGGGAATTGTCGACGATCCGAGGGAATAGAAATGAAAATCTCCAGCGGAACCTCCTGCACCGATTGTACCACCATCGCCTCCATTTCCACCGGGAAATCCATTTAAACCGTAGATGTAACACTCGTCTATATATTTAAGAACATAGGACCCAAATAAGGGTTTGTAATATCTGATGACTGATGAATGATTAACAAAGTAATCAACTCGATAGTCATTCAACCACTTGCAGTGGTAATTGTTGAACATTGAGTGAATGTAATTTTTACTCGGTGTCTCGCCATTCTCTCCATTTGCTCCATCGCCACCATTTTGTCCATTACTTCCATTTCCTCCGTTGAGGGAAATTGTCAGATTCTCGACACTGATGATCTTCTCGGCTAAACCGTAGAAAGCACCAGCGGGACCACCTGGAAGACCCGCTAGACCATGGACTCCGTTTCGATTTGTAAGAGTATTGCCGTTCCTTCCTTTCGGTACCTGGGAGGAGAAATTAAAGTATAAATCATCAATTGAATCAGAAACGGGTTTAATTAAATTTTTGCATATTAGACATAATTGCAATTGGGGACTTTAGCTACAGTCCCCAATAAGGAATTATTTATCTCTAAAGTGCCTTTCCCAAAGGGACATTCGAAAACGGTTGGAAATAACTATTACAGGAATCTCCTTACCGACAATTACCGACATTATCAAAAACCTTCTCTAAAGAACCCACTTGCTAAACAGTAGCGAAAACCATTACAGGAATCTTCTTACCGACAATTACCGATACTGGAAATAATCTTTCATTGGAAGACGAATCCTAATTAAACCCGGAAATGTTTGCAAATAGGCAATTGTCACCGCGAACGTCATTAAAAAAACATCCGAATTAAGTATCTTTAGTGCGAAAGTAATTAAAAACAAATTCCCCCTAATTAAAAATCTAGACAATTTCCGTTAGAAAACTATAATTGTAAAAGTTAATAAGAAGGGAAATTCGAATTGAAAACCTACCATATAATCATCATCAGTCAAATTCCGTGAAGCCCCATCCAAAATGATCCGCCTATTCATGACAATCTCCCAAACTGGCGCAAATATTGCAATAACAATATTCTCTCCAATTGCAATTATATCACAATCAATGACAATTTTCTCAAGTGCAAAAATCTCTAGAATTTGATAATTTGGACAATTTGTGTTATTCAAAATTTGACTCAATCGCAAAAATTCTCCAGTCACTTTCAATTTAATCACCGATTCACGTTGACAATTAACATTCACCGTCACATTTCGTAAATCTTCCTTAACAATCCAAACAGCGTGCATCAGGAATGCACTATCATAATCTACATGATTCACCACTTGTTTCATGAGATCATTTAACTTGACATCAATTTCATCAACTGTCAATGAATTCTTCATTGGTTTTAGATCATCGAAAACCATTCTTAAATTGAGAAACCAATTTCTCGGATACTTTAGATCTTGAAGATAATTTTCTATAATTGTAATCCATTTTTGTGCTTCATCATCGTACTCGATGTCGGTTGAATTAAAAATATGTCCCGTCCAACAGAATACGGAGAAATTCTCATTAATTGAGGCAATTTCTATGAGATCAAGTCCTAGGGTCTTTAGATTGTTTAGTAATTTGTCAGAGCATTTGTTGAACATTTTCTTTTCGTTTTTTATGATACAATTTAGAAATGATGATAGTGCTTCATGAGTTGTGTTTAATTTTTCAGACAAAGTGAATATGGAAGTTAGGGTTGTCATACCGGTGAGGTGATTCGACGAGTGGAGATTGGTGCGGATTCGTGAGACTAGAGATTCAGCGGCGAATTGCAAATCGATGTTAGAGGATTTGAACAAACATTTCAAAAATCGGTGTAGTTGACTTTCGTAGTCGTATGTTTTGGCTGGAACTCGTTTAATGTTGCTTAGACGATCGATCAGTTTTTTCTGGAATGATGGTGTTAGATCGCCTTGGATCACGTTTTCCTCGTCTATCATTTCTGCCAGGAGTTTTCCGTTCGGACTTCCATTTGGAGCAGTGGAGTATTCTCTAATTAGTTTGATAAAGCTTCTTTCGATATTCTCCGTACTCACTTCGTACTCACTCGTTTCCTTAGACTTTTTGCTAGTTTTCGGAAAGTTTTCGTTGGGTTGCAATTGTCTCTTGTTTTCTGGGGTTTTTCCCTTAGTTTCCAGCGTATTCTTGTGAATTTCGTCATCTCTAGCTATTTCAGAAGTGTCTCCACTTGTTTCTTTGAATGTCTGATTGGATTTCAAGACTTCTAGGTGTTCTAGGTGGTTTCGGTCAGTATCCTTCATTTCTTGGTGGAATTCGTCATTTTCGGTGGATGTTGGAGTGTTTTCGTTAGTTTCGTCAAAATCTTCATTGGAACTCAAGTCTTTTTGGTGTTTTAGGTGGTTTGCGTCAAGTACGTTCATGTCCTGATGTAACTCATCACTTCCGGCGGTTTCCGGACTGTTTCCGTCAGTTCTTCCAAAGTTTTCTTTGGGTATCAATTCTTCCGGTTGTTCAAGACGAACAATTTCTTTAATCACTTCAGGATTTTCGAGTTCTCTGACGATTTTAGAATCGTTTTCACTTGTTCTCCCAAACTTCTGGTTGAATTTTGATTTTTCCTGTTGCTCCAGGTTTGTTACATTAGATTCCATCGTCTTCTGGTAAAATTCGTCATTTCCGTCGGTTTTCGGAGTATTTCCACTAGTTTTTCCAATATTTCCATTGGAATCCAATTCTTTCAAGGGATTCTGGTTCGTTCCGTTACCTTCCCTCATCTCCCCAAGCAATTCGTCATCTCCGGCGGTTTTTGGAGTATTTTCACTAGTTTTCCCAATATTTCCATTGTAATTCAATTCTTTCAAGGGATTCTGGTTCATTCCGTTAATTTCCCTCACCTCCTCATGGAGTTTGTCATCTTCGTCAGTTTTTGGAGTATTTTCACTAGTTCTCCCAATATTTCCATTGGAATTCATTTCTCCCGGATGTTTTAGGTTCGTTCCGTTAATTCCCCTCACCTCCTCATGTAATTCATCATCTCCCTCGGTTTTTGGAGTATTTCCACTAGTTCTCCCAATATTTCCATTGGAATTCAATTTTCCCAAGGGTTTTAGGTTCTTTTCGTTAATTTCCCTCATCCCCTCATGAAATTCATCACCCCCGTCAAATTTTGGAGTATTTCCTTTCGTTTTTTGAATTTTTGCACCAAGAATCAAATCTTCCAGCTCTTTTATGTTCTTTCCATCATTGTCCCTCACCTCCTCATCAAATTCATCATCCCCGTCGATTTTTGGATTATTTCCACTCGTCTTCCGAACTTTTGCATCAGGAGACAATTCTTCCAGCTCTTCCAAGTCCTTTCCCGTATTTTCCCTCAACTCTTCACCTAATCCACCATCTCCATCGACTTTTAGACTCTTTTCTCTTTTCTCCCTGAATTTTTCACTACACTGAAGTTCTCTAATGATTGATTGTAGATCACCATTAGTTTCATCGCTCTTCCTCCCGTTACAATTAACCTCCCTCATAATTTTAAAAATCTCTTCATCACTTTGTGTATAACTGGGAACAATCACATTCGATGAAATCCCTGTCCTTTCTGAATCTAGGTCTCTATTAATAGTTTCCACATTCTTATTATTCCTCCTAGAATTTTCATTACCATGCGGAAGTTTTTTGATAATTTTCCTAAGTACTCTTCTAGTCGCTTCAATCGAAAAATTTTTCCTCCCCCTCCCACCGTTTTTTCCAATTCTTTTTCCACTTTTCCTACTAACTCGACTTCTCTGACGACTTATTTCCTGTGCTTCTCTAAAATTCCTCTTCCCTTCCTGAAGATCCTCCTCCTTTTTTTCCCTTGAAGTATTATTTCTCCTCTCATCAATTTCCAAATTTCCATTTGTCACAATGAATAAATAACTTCCCCTATACTTTTTGACATTTTTTATCATTTTACCAGCAATTTCAAAAATATCCCTCACTTTAGTTTCCGGATCGTTGTCTCGACTATTAGAAATAGTTAAAATTAATTGTACAGTTTCAGCGTAACTAACACTCTGTATTACTATTTCCTGTGCTAAAAATTCATCTTTTGTATTTCTAGGATAGGTGAGGAATGTCGTTGATTGATTTTGATCTTGATAGGCAATAAAATTTTCCACTATAAAATCATAATGTAATTTAATTTCATAGCTAAACATGTTCCTCGTCTTTTTTGGTAGTAATCTATTATTGTTTGTCAAGAAACGAGCCAAATTGATGTCATCATTCAAATTTTCCGACAATATTATTATTAAATTTGGATTATCTATTTCAAATATCTCTGCGAGTAAATGTTCATGAAATAATGGCTCCCATTCATCCAGACATGTTGGATAACTCACATCACTTGGAATTTGAGAATTATTCTGAAACTTGTTAACGATTTATTATTTATTAGTAATTTGTAATAAGCAACTAGTAATTTTTGTAACACTCAATCAATTAGAAATTCCTAATTATTATTAATTGATTAGTAATTCGTAATAAATAATTAATTAGCAATTCGTAAATATTAATTATTTAGTAATTCGTAATTATTAAGTGTATTTAGTAATTCGGAGTTATTAATTAATTAGTATGTAATTACTAATTTATTAGTAAGTAATAAGTAATTAATTAGTATGTAATTAGTAATTAATTAGTATGTAATTAGTAATTAATTAGTGATTAATTAGTAATTGATTAGTAATTAATTAGCAATTGATTAGTTAGTAATTAGTAATTAATTAGTGATTTATTAATGAGTAATTAGTTATTAATTTGTGATTTATTAGTAAGTAATTAGTAATTAATTAGTAATTGAATAGTAACTAATTAGTTATTCAAAATATTAATTTGTTATTTGCAGTCATTAATTAATTAGTAAGTTGTATTTGTTAATTAATTAGTAATTTGTATTTATTAATTACTTATTCATTCAAAAATATTATTTAATTAGTAATTCGAAAAAATTCATTACATAATAATTTTTATTTATTAATTATTAATTGCTAATAAGTAATTAATACTTATTGTTTATTATTTTTATTTTAAATTTCTATTTATATAGTTTTCTTATACTGTAAATAACAATTAATCTTTATTTATTTATTTATTTATTTATTTAAAGAAAAACAAGTTTTTACCTCAAGTTCCGGACAGGCGTCAATTTTAAGTTCTGGTTGATTGTGCAATGCACGTGTTATTCCGGCGAACAGCATGTGAATAAACATCAATGAAATACAAAGAAAAAGCTTCATTTTTTAATATTTCACTGAAAAACTAAAAAAAAACAAAATTCATTAATTATTTATAAAAATAAATTATTATTTCTGATTTATTATTATTACTAACTAATTATTATTATTATTAAGAAAACTTATTAAATTATTATTATGATTAATTATTATTAATTCTTATTTTCATTATTATTATATTATTAATTATGGTTATCAATTCTTTAATTATTATTGTAACTGAAAAATAAATTTAAAACTATGAAAAAATGAGGGACTAACTCTGATGGGGGTCGAAAAAAAATTATTATAACTTTTAGTTAATTGGAGGCCTCATTAGTAATTAAATACATTAATTAATTAATCGACAATTAATTGCCGCGAGATACAAAAAAAAATTTACCACTGACTCTAAATGGAGCAAAAATAATATTTAGAAAAGAGAAAAATGCTGGAAGCAATTTTATATATCTACCTGAAAATTTAAAAAATCAGTGATTCGTTATTAATACAATATGTTTTTTATTGGATAAATAATTAATAATAGAGGAATAAATTTTTATGTATTATCATACAATTGTGATTTTGAATATTATATTGACTTTTAATTTAAAATAAATAAAAAAAAAAAATTTTTTCATGATAAAAATTTTAAATGTGTACGTAGGTACTCAATATAATAATTCATCATCTTGACTCTCGTCATAATGATAAAAATCTTATGAAGCACGTGATTTTTTGTATTATTGAAATTAATTTATTATTTAAAATGATAAATCTAGATTTATCTATTCTGTATATATATATATATATAATATGTATATATCTGTATCTAGATTTGTGTATATAGACACAATATTAAATGAAAATTATTTTCTATTCAAATTTTAACGATTTTTATACAATATATTTATATATGTATGTACTTATGTTAATTTCTATGTTGTATTTCTTCAAAAAAATATGTTTCTTGATTCTGAAAAGAGTGACAAAATTATATCATTTCGGCCTAGATATTTTTTAAAATATATAATTTCTTATTACAGATTATTTGAACTAATATCATCTTTTATTAATAGGTATTTTAATAAAAATTTTGGTTCAATTTTTTTGCTTTATGAACTAGAATTAATTTTTTATAAGGAAAATTATTTTTCTCACAAAAAAGTAATTTTTTTAAATCATTTCCTGGCTTAAGTTATTATTATTATTATTTTATTTTATTATTATTTAATGTTTTTACTAGGTATTGTTGTTAAAATAATTATAATTTATTATAATTATTATAAATATTATTATTACTTTATTATCATTATTACTATTTATTGTTATTACTATATTAATATTTCTATTTTTTTATTCTTATTCTAATTTTTATTTATGATCATTATTATTATATGATTATTCTTATTTTATATTTTTTAATGATTTTAAAGACGTTAAAATCAAAAGAAAATTAAGTTTAAGCAGATCAATCATGTGTCATTTTATTGAGAACCACCTGCGAATGATCAATAAACTTGTTATTTTAAACTCATCACAAATGTACTTTTAAGAAAACTTTTAGATAACTATTTTTCTGTTAAATATTGCAGATGTGGAATTTTTTTTCTTTTCTTTTAATATTTTAAATAATAATTTTGTAAACCGAAATCCTTATTTTATTTAATAAATAAATAAATACAGTATATTTTATTTATTTGAAGAAAAGTAAAAAGCAAAAAAAACTTTATTTATTAATTTTTATTACTTTCGGAAAAGAAACTTTTTAAAAAATAATTTGTCCAATTTAAATAAAATGACAAATTGTCTCCAATAAATATATAAAAAGAAAAAAAATTTTCAAGTAGTACTTGTTTGCGTTAAATGATTTTTTAATTAAGGACAATAATAATCAGTGGAATTATTGGAATATTGTCAACATCTATAATTTTCTTTTTCTGTTATCTGACGGGGAGAAATGGATTTTCAACCCTTCCCATTGTAAATAAAACACGACGACGGTTTTGTTTGAATGCTTTTGCAGTCATTTCATAGCCTTTTTATAATCAACAATACCACAAGAGTGCACATTGTTTAAAGTTAATAAATATTTTTTTTAAATTATCTTTTAATTGTAAAAAAAAATTATTTCCTTTATTACAAATTTTTTTATTTTTAACTAAACAATTTTTTATAAAACAAAACTTTAAACTATTTTTTTAAGTTTAATTTTTTCTCTCTCTTCATATTATTATTATTTTTAGTGTTAAAAAAGAATTGAGAAACGAAAAAAAAAATTTCCAGTGTTAAATTAAAAAGAAGAAACAATTATAAAATGATTTATCCATTATCAGAATTTATTGGCGACGTTCCATATGAATTGCGAAGAATTTCCGATACAAACTCAAATTCATTGGAAAAAAGTGAGTTAAAAAATTTTTAATTTTAATAAATTTAATTTGTTAAACAAAAATTGTTAAAGAAAAATTTCTCAAAAAAATGTTAAAGAAAAAATTCTCAAAAAAAAATTTTTTTTTAATTTGATTTTTTAACAGAAGATCCCATTCCACAAACAATTAATGTAAAGGAAAAAATTCAAAATTACAATCAAAAGTCAAGTGGATTGAAAACTGATATTCATTTAGCGCTTATGCCACTTTATTATGTGACAAAATTATGTGGCCTCTATCCAGTTGAATTAAAAGCACGAGGCGGTGGAATTTATTCTGCAAAATTATATAAACCTGCAGTATTTTATGGGTAAAAATAATTCATGCAAATTATTCACTAAGAAATATGCAATTTTATAACTTAATGATAATAGTACAAGTTTCCAATTTACCACTCGCCGATAATGCAGATTACCAATTTACCTATCTCCGATCATATAGATTTCTTATTAACCATCAATCGGTAATACAGTTTCCTTAATTACCCAATAATTATTAGTTTTTAATTTCTAGCCTAAAATTAGTTAAAATTTACATTTTACCTATTAATAGTCACTGCAGATTATTAAATATCCACAGTTGGTAATGTAAAGTTCTACTTTGTTTACATTCGGTAATGTAGATTTCTAATCTGTCCGCTACAAGTATAATGTCAATTCTTGATCTTTATTGTAATTTATAATTTACTAACTGTTTAGCACATGGTTTTTCGTGCTCTTTTTTACCGACATGTATTATCAGTGTCATGGTCATTAGTATTGTCATTAGTAGTATTACCGACAATGATAATACTAGTCATAAACTACAATAAATATTGCAGTTTAGGAATCCCCATTACCGACTGATGGTAAAGAAGAAACCTGTACTACCAGCAGTCGGTAAATTAGAATTCATCCTTGTCACTAAATGGTAAGATTACATATAATATATACATTAAATTAGTAATGCAAAAATGTTCTTTTTTTAATAGCATTTCATTAGCAATAGCATTTATATCATCTCAAGCATGGGGTTTGTGGCGAGATTTAAGAAATGGTTGGAAAAATAGCACAAGACTATCGTCACAAACTGCGTTAACAGTAACTTGCACTGATGTAACGGCAATTGTTACGGTAATGATTACTGCAATAACAAATGCACCATTTAGATGGAACTATTTACAAAGAGCAATAAAAATATTAGCGGAGGTAAGAAAGAAAAATTAATTTCGTTTCTACTAATAATTTTCTTTATTGCTGACTTAATCTACCATCAGCTGCTAATGTAGGTCGCTTTAAATTTTAAGAAATCTCTACATTGCCGACTTAACGTATCAGTGGTATCTGGATTAACGACCGCTGATAGGTTACGTCGGTAATGTAGATGTTTTTAACAGCTGGATTACCGACTTAATATATCAGTGGTATCTATATTACCAACCGATGTCAAGTTAAGTCGGTAATATAGAGGTTTTTAAACTTTGTATTGTTGATTTAACCTACCAGCGGTCGGTAATGTAGATACCCAATAATAAATCTTAATCTACCAACGGTCGGTATTGTAGAGCTCTAATTTATATAAACAAAAAAATTTATTTTCAGATAGACGAAAAAATTGGAAATTTAGAAATGAAAAGACTACAGAGAATTTCAATAATTTTGATTTCATGTCCACTGTGTTATTTGATGTTAATTTCGGTTTTGGATTTTAAAGCATGGAAATTGTCGGACAGTAGGAAACCACAATTACTACCTGATAAAGGACAAATTAATTATCTACCACTCTATTTTATGTATATTATAATAACAATGTTTGAAACACAATATGCATTAATAACATTTAATGTCGGTGAACGTTTCTCACGTCTTAATCGTTTTAGTAGGAAAATATTGAAATGCAACAAAATTCTCGAAGTGGGTATGTAAAAAACTAGTGTTTCAATGAAGTTTCCAAAAAATTTTAATGTGGGGCTTCAGTATATTAAATTTTGTTAAAAAATTAAAAAAGAAATTTTATTTTCCAGCTTCAGAATTTAAACAGCACATGATTAGGCTTCCCACAATCTCGTCGGAATTAAGTCGTTCTAAGAAGGCAAAACCACATGAGGGATTTACTGCTGGTAAGAGTGCTGTAATTATTATTTAATTTCCACATTGTTTTTATGATACAAAAAATTTTTTACTTGGATTTGAAGGGATGGGCTTGAAATTTTTCTGAAGGCTATGCTTGTTCCTCTTTTGGCAACATGATTGGTGTTTATCTTGCAAAGGTTAAATTGAAATTAAATTATTTGAGTTTTTATTTGAATTCTTTTTAATTAGAATCAGAGAGAAAGAGTAGATCCAGATGTCTTCAGGGACATTGAAACAAAATTAGAACCTTGTGGAATTTTTGGGTCGTAGTCCCAACAAGCAATACCTCCTTCAGTATGACATCGAGGAAATGACTTTGTCTAGTGAAAACAGAGAATGCAGTAGATTTCCCTCGAATTGTTTTCGGGCCAGCCAAAGTGAAAGGTCCAGAGTCCAGGTGTCGATGTAAATTAGATAAAACACCCCTCAGCCTAGGAGGGACCGAATTATTTATTTGACGTTGATGTCGAAGTAATGCAGTCCTTAGAAAAATAGAAATGTGCCTCGCAGTAGAAATTATCTCCTTGAATGAATTTGACTGAGAGGAGACTCAAAGAAGGTACTTAGTAGTTGTAAAGATTTTCTGGGAGTCGAAAAACAAACTGGATGACAGTACACAACTAGTTAACTTGGTGGCGGTTGCTGGACTGACACGAAGAAGATACTAAGTTGATTCGGTGGTGACTTCTGGACTAACTAACTTGATGACGTTTCCTGGACAAAGATGACACTTGGGGGTAGTACACAACTAGTCAACTTGAACTGGTCCATCGCGTTTTTTTGGAGCACCAAGATTTTCAGCTTCCTCCGCTTCAAGAAATTGTGAGCCCTCACAATCCTTGCGCACTTGAGCATCAATCGAGGGACTGGAGGCGATTTTTTCCTATCTTCAGTCTGCTCACATAGGGTACTGAATCTGAATTTGTAGAATCCATTTCTTCTTGCTGTTCGGATGTCGTTTAGTGAAAAGTCCTGTCACCATGACAAAGTTCATCAAGAATGTACCTTAACAATAACCGAATATTCAAGATATCCGTAGGATGACATAGTGACGTCGACGGAAAACTTCTGGAAATTCTATAGGGATAAGGACGTTTTTGGAACGAAGATGATTTTTTGACCAGAGGGTTCGTTGCATATTAGATCCTTTGCTGTTTGGGTTCAAGATTCTTGTTAGCGGACATCCAACGGTGGGGATTGTTTTCGGAGTTTTCCCGTCTCCGGACTGCTTACATGGGGTGCTTTACCGGAATCTGTAGAATCCATGTATCTTGCTATTCAGATCTCTTCCCTTTCCCTGTGCTCTTTCTTTATCCTTTCCTTTAAAAGAATTCCGTTTTTTCGGTACAAACTGTCTTCCAGTTTGTACAGAAAAAAAGGGCTCATCTGTCTTCGATCGGGAAGCAGAACATCCACATGGTCCCTCCTGGAATTACACGAGGCCTATTCTAGCTAATTCCCATTCTAAAAGAAGTTATTGAGGCCAGTACGACTGCAACTAACTGCTTCTCCATTTCATTAGTCAACTGTTCTCTTTACTCTGAACATTGACCATCTTGTTTAAATACAAAGAATTCCACCCTTTCGGAGGCGTTTTTCCAAATCCAATTAAATAATTAATATAATTGCAGGAAATCAAAAACTAATCGATTCGATATCAACATTAACGACACTGCATGGGAATTTATGTGATTCGACGTCACTGATTAATATTGCATTTGGAATACCATTGCTTACCTGCGTTTTAGGATGTATGCTTCATTTGATAAATACCTGTTATTTTTTGTACACCGAATTAAAAGAGGAGGATACAAGTGGATTTTTCCTTGTAACCCAACCACTTTGGGTTATTTTTCACATAATAATGCTTCTCATACTGGTGCAACCGTGTTACATGACAATAGTCAAGGTTTTTAAATTAAAATTTTAGAATTTCATTTCTTTTTATGTAAAAATGAATACATTTTGTTTCTTTTAACAGTGCAGAGAAACAACATTATTGGTCAGTCAATTATTGACACTAAAATGGGATCCAGATGTGCAAAAACAATTGGAAATATTTTCACTGCAATTACTACATCGTCCATTAAATTTCTCAGCCTGTGGATTATTTTCCATTGATCGTGGTTTAGTCACATCGGTAAACTTATTAATATTAATTACAAAAATTCACAATTCTTTCTTATAAATTCAAATTTTTCCAACAAAAACCCTTGACTGCCACCTACGGAATCTTTAGTTTCCCACTGAAGATTTCAAAGGTGTCAGTTAAGTTTTTTTTATCCACTAAGAAATAATATTCAATGTATATAAGATAGAATACAAATGCACATAAAAGAATGTGAATTATAAAATAAAATTAGTAATTTTTTTTATTTATTACAGATTGCAGGTGCTGTGGCGACTTATCTCGTGATACTCGTGCAGTTTCAAAATGAGAACGATTGTTCACAAGGGACGAAGGATCTTAAAAATGCAACAGATATTATTTTCAAAAATTTATCATTAGCTAAAAGTCCAAAAGCTTAATTATAATATATATTATGTAAATTGTTTATTACAATAGTTCTGAGAAATAATAAATATCTACATTACCGACTTAATCCTATAACGGTCGACATTGTAAATTTCTACATTACCGTCTTGCCTATCAACTATGATGGTATTATTACCGATAGTTGATAAATTAGAAATCTATATTACCGATTGTAGATAAAGTAGAAATTTCCATTACCAATCGTTAATACTTAATAACTCTGACTATTAATGGTGGGGTAGCCAAAAGCCTCACTTACCATTTTCCCCAGTCACACAAATTGTACAAAACTGTTTTACCGACTGAGTCTCTACAAATCTAACCTTCTTACTGTGTAAAATTGTAGTTCGGGACAATGACAAGTGAGGCTTTTGGCTACCTACCTGATCTTTAATGCATAATCTAGACATTTACCGACTATTCTACCAACCGTCGGTAATAAATTATGTCGGTAATTTAAAAACCACCGCATTATCGACATAATCTACCAACGGACGGTACTGTAGATTCTTAAACTTTGGTCTAGAATTTCTTCATTAAGAACTTTGGAACATACCTGGGACTTAACTTGCCAACGGTCGGTAAATCAGGTCTCTAATAACGAAGCTCTTCATTACCTACTTTTCTAGCAATAGTCGGTAATGTAGAACAATAATTTAATAAATCTCTACATTATTGATTTAATTTACCAACGGTCGGTAAGGTAGATCCCAAAAAATAATAATCAATGCTTTTTTTGGGAGTTTTTCAGGGTCACTAAATCGAAATCTGAAGTCAAACCTCAACAAGAACAAAGTCAAAATTTAGAAATTCAAAATGGTGGTTTTAAAAATCCGATCAAAAACTTAAAAAATCTAACTAATCTTACTAAAAATGCTTTTTCGTGGGTTTCCGAGGTCGCTGAATCCGAATTTGATGTCAAAATTAAAAAATTAAAAATGGCTTCCGAAAAAATTAAAATTTAACTAATATTACTAAAAATTCTTACTAGGGGGTTTTTGGGGTAGGTGAATCGAAATTTGATGTCAAAATTAAAAAATTAAAAATGGTGGTTTTAAAATGACGACCAAAAACTTAATAAATCTAACTAATCTTAATGAAAATGTTTATTCAGGAGGTTTTTGGGGTCGCTGAATCCGAATTTGATGTCGAAATTTGAAAATTAAAAATGGCGACTTCAAAATGGCACCCGAAAAATTTCAATTTCATCTAATCTTATTAAAAATGCTTACTCAGGGTTTTTCGGGGTCGCTGAATCCGTTTTTGAAGTCAAAATTTAAAAATTAAAAATGGCGTCCAATAAATTTTTAAATTTCACTAATCTGATTAAATTAAAAACTTTTCGATCTCTATTTTGAAGCCGTTATTTTAAATTTTAAAATTTTGACTTCTAATTCGAATTCAGTGGCCTCAAAAACAAAAATATATGTTAATACCGCTTTTATCATAGAAAAAATTCTTTTTACACATTTTTACTAACAAAAACCTTATTTTTACCACACTTTAAACGAGTTAATTATAAGATAAATAAAATTAACACTTTATTATTTTTTTTTTTTTTTGATAAAATTTCTGTATTATGACAGTGTTTCACTTATTGTGTACAGAGAATATTACTTGGTAATTACAATTGTAATAGTATGTATAATATTTCAATAATAATATAATAATAATAATAATAATAATATATAGTTATATATAATAATATATCTATAACTCATTAGAAAAAAAAGTTAATATTTTTCTTCTTCATGCATAGCTTTCTATCAAACTCTTGGCCGAGACTTAAAAGCGTATTAAAATTTTTCAGGAAATTTAAAATAAACCTTTTATATTTATCTATATATATATACATATATATTTATATTTATGTATATAAATATAATGTAATCTTTTTTTTCCTGTTTTTTGTTGTTGTTTCATTTTGCCCTTTTTTATATATATATATATATATATATATTGTTTTTTTTCAATTTAAAAAAAATAATTTTTTTCCAAAAATCTAGAAAAAAATAACAAGCGATTGGAGTGGGACGCAATATTTTATAAATAATATTTATATATATGTATATATATATCGTCCCCTACCAACTAGATTTGTAAAAAATGCGGGTAATCTAAAAAATAGAAGTGGATTTTTTTTCTCTCTATTATATCCGATGACAAAAAACACGATTCTTTCTCTCTCTCTCTTTCTCGCACTCTCATTCATACAAAGACAATTTTTTAGTTAAAATTCATTAAATTCTTTTAATTCTTTTAATCATTTCTTTTACTCTCTTTCTCTATCACTTTTTCACTTTCTTACCTCTTTTTCTCCCCACCCCCCTTTTTCCCACCACAATTATTCTTTCTCTTTTTCTCACATTCATATCGAATTTTTTTTTTTTTTTTACTATTTTTTATTTATATTAAAAATCAAATTGATTTCTCATTTGTTCAGTTAATTTTTTATGGCGACAATATGGAGTTTTTTTTTATTTTTATTTTGGTTTTTATTTAGCACAACAAATTAGCAGTCTCTAACATAAGTTTTGTTTTTTTCCCAAATACAATAATTAATTAATTAATTATTATCATCATCATCATTATCATCAGTATCATACAAATAATTCTAATATTCGCATTCCTCCAACAATTTGAAAATGAGCTGTCTTTGAAGAAAATAGACAAGGCACTTTGAACCGAATAAGTTTTTTTTCACATTTTCATTTATTTCTTATTTTTTTTCTCATTATTTCAAATTCTTATCTAGTTGGCCTCGGAAATCTTTTTTTTTTTATATTTTTATAAAATTGTAGGGTTTTTGGGAGGGGGGGACAAGTTATTTTATTCATTTCGTTTTTTTTTAACTATTTCGCCGATTTTATTTCAACGATTAGAAAGTAAAAGAAAAATCGACGAAAAAAAAAATTGCTACACTTATAAATATGAAATTTATTAACAGATTAGGAAAAAAAAAGTGGAAAGTGATGAAGGGGGAAGAAGAACAGGGAGAGTGGAATTTTGATCGAAAAAAATTAAAAAATATTTTTTTTTATCGAATTTAATTTAATTTTATTCAACAAAAAAAAAGAATTAAAAAATAGGGTCCATAGTTTGAAATTTTTGAAAAATCTTAAAATTGCGGTTAAAAATCATCGAAATTAGGACTTTTTAAGTCAAATTGATTTTAAATTGGGGAAAAAAAGGAAAGTGCATTTTTCCCCCTCCACCCTCTCTTTCTCGAAAAAAAAATGTTTTCCTCCTTTGATTCATCATTTTTTTTTATTGAACGACACCGGGTCGCTCTCATATTTCAACAACAACAAAAAAAATGCAATTTATGTACAAAAATATAAATAAATTAACAAAAAAAGAAAAAAAAATTAAAAAACATTGAAACGAGCAAAAAAAAAATTGAAAAAAAATGACACTGACAGAAAAATATATATTTATAATATGTAAAAAGGAGGTGAAATATTATGCCGGGCTAATTATTATATTATAATAATAATAATTATCATCCATAAAATAATTGATAAAATATTCAGCTTTGTTCACGACTCAATTCTTTTTTTTTCATAATTTGAATTTAAAGAGCGTGTAAAATTAATTAAAAATATTCCTATATATGAAGCCACAGTCTTTTTTAAGTACAGCACATATCTGAACCTAAGACCCTTTTTTTGTTGTTGTTGTTATTGTTGTTTTAGATCCAGATATTGGGGTACATTGATATTAAACTGTAAATATAAACAATCGTCGTCTTCATTCAACTTCTTCTGTTATGTTGTTTTTCCCTTTTTTTTATTTATTTATTTATTTATTAGCAAAACCATTGTCAAAGTCCGAGAGAATTGGCCAAGTCGTATTGCAGCAGCTTTCAGTAATGGAGGAGGGGTTTTTTTTTTTTTTTAAATATAACTCAGCAAAATATTTTTTTTTGCTGGAGTACATTTTCTTTTCATCATTATCATTATCATCATATTGCAAAAAAAATTTGATGATCCTTAATTTTCTCTCTTTTTCTTAGTTTCTTTGTTAGAGGAAAGTTTTGTTTTTAGTGAAAAATTTTTTTTGCCTTGAAGAAAATATTGCAAAAAAAATTTTTTAAATGTTGATTTTTGTTTTCTTTTAGGAGATTATTTTTGTTTTTTTTAACGTTTTCCCCATGCACCGTCGGGAACTGACGCTGGAACATGAGTGAAACCACCAAATTGTGGAAATTCCTCGACACTCGCTGTATTTGGAGCACTTTGTTGTTGTTGTTGCTCCCATGGACCGCCTTTCACGATAAATCCAGAATCATTCTCACTTCCACTGCCCTCGTCGCGTTGAGGTGCTCGTAGACTATTTGTGTATTCATAGGTGTGCGACACTTCTTGCATCTTAAGGAAAAAAAGAAAAAAAAATAATTAATTATTTTTAAATTTGTTAAGTTTAGAAAATTTATGATCAAATATTTGAAAAATAAGTTTAAAAATGATTTAATTTTAAAATCCAAGAGTCAAATTCTTAATCAGCGATTCCGAAAACCCCAAAAGTGACGATTTTGAAGGGAAATTAACAGACTTCGCAAGTCGATAATTAATTTTAAAAAAGTAGCAAAAAGTAGCTTTCAAACTTAAAAAAAGTAGCTATCGAAAAATTAAACTTGACGACCAAAAAAAACTTGTTTTAGCAACTTCACAAAACTGACAAAAATTCCATTCTATATAATGCTAATAAATTGAATTCCTGCAACGAATTTTATTATTCATGAAAAAATTTAAATATTTAGAAAAATAATTTAATTCTTGTGAAGAATTTTATAAAAATTTTTTAATAATTAATTTCTTTCGACTAATTTAGTGAAAATTCTAATTAAAATAATTAAATTCTTGAGAAATTTCCATTTTCATGAAATGCAAAAAATTTTTTAAAATAATTAAATTTTTCGCAGAATTCTATTAAAATTTTTGAGAATAATTTAATGTCTGTGTGTCATTTTATTAAATTTTGTTAAAAATAATTGAATTCCTAAAAAGTATTTTATTATTTATGAAAATAATTAAATTCTTGCAAACGATTTTATTAGAATTTTTTTAAATAATTGAATTTCCAAGAAAAAATGTATTAATATTAAAAATAATTGAAAATCTTGCGATGAATTTTATTATTTATGCAAACAATTGAATAGTTGCAAAGAATTTTATTAAAATGCCTCAAAATAATTGAATTTTCTGGAATAATTTTGTTATTTATCGTCATAATTGAATTCGTTCGAAGAATTATTTATGTAAATAATTCATTTCTTGGTAAGTATTTTTTTAAAATCTAAGAGAATAATTGAATTATTTCAAAAAAATTTAATTTAAATATTTGAAAATAATTTAATTCCTGTGAAATTTTTATTCTTTTGGAATATAATTGAATGTTCGTGTAGAATATTATTAAAATTTGTGTTAAATATTTGAATTATTTTGTGAAATTTTATTAAAATAGTAGAACATTGAAAATCCTTGAATTAAGAAAATTTTTTGAAAATAATTGAATAGTTGCAAAGAATTTTATTAAAATGCCTCAAAATAATTGTAATTTTGGGAATAATTTTGTTATTTATCGATAAAACTGAATTCTTTCGAAGAATTATTTACGTAAATAATTAAATTCTTGTCAAAAATTTTATTAAAATCTAAAATAATGATTTAATTGTTTCAAAGAAATTTAATTAAAATTGTATTTAAAATAATTGATTTCATTCGAAACATTTTATTAAAATATTTGAAAGTAATTGAATTTCAAAGAAGAATTTTATTATTTATAATGATAATTGAAGTTTTGTCGAGAATTTTTTAAAAACTTTTAAATATAATTGAATTTTTGACAATAATTTCATTACTTTTGAAAATGTAAAATTGAATTTCTGAAATCATTTGTAACTTTTCCAAAATTCAAATTTTATTAGTGTTTTTTAGCTAAAATTCTTCTATAAATCCATTATTTTTAATAATTAATTAAATATACAATAAAAAATTTAACTAATTTAAGAAGAATCTGAATTATTAAAATTTTCCAAAAATCTAAGTTCTTTAAAATTTCTAATTAAATTCATTGAAAATTGAAATTAAAACCTTTTGAAGTTAATCTATTTATGAAAATTGTAAACGCAACTTTTTTAAAAATTCAATTAATTTTGAAATATTTAGGTAAAATTAGTCATTAAATAATTTATAATTAATAAATGTTATGATAGTTCTTCAAGAATGAAGTTATTTAAAAAAGAAATGATTGTCGAAACCTCTCGAGTAACTGAGTTTCAAACGAATTTCGTTAATTTTTTTTAAAAAAATGTCTGCCATATCGGATCCGTCATTTTTTAAAGAAAAAGAAAAAAAAAGTAAAGAACAAAAAGAATAAAAATCCAAAATAGTAAAAAATTAAAAAACTATGAAAAATAAATAAAGTTTTACTTACATATTCCTCCTCCAATTTGAGAAGATAGTCCTTAGCGTCAAGAACATTTTCCTCATTGCCAATGATCGTGACCATTTCTGGATCGGGATCAGTTTTACGGGGAATTTTAATATCGACCTTATAGTCGTCCATTATTTTCCGTATATTACGTCCCTTTGATCCAATTAGCCTTGAATGCACTGCCGAACTAATGCGAATTTCTTCCTTCATCAATCCGTCCTAAAATTAATTCGATTAATATTAATTATCAATTTAATTCCAATTCGAATTAATTACTTCGATTATAACTGACGATTATATCGTTTAAAAACTATTTTACAAATCATTATTTATATTTTTTTTGTTACTCCAAGTTAACAAATTGGAATATTTTTGGAAAAAATCATATTTACTTTTTTATTTTTCCATTGCACATGATCAAAATCAATTCAAATCAGTCTAGTATGACCACCAGACAAATAATAATGCATAATGAAATTTATTTAAATTGTTATAAACAATGTTAATAAAGAAAAAGATAAATTTGGTCCTCTTCATGAAAAAAATTGTTTTTTTTTCAGACAAATTTAAATTTATGTTTATTTAAGTAATTTATGTCTGTTTTGGCAAAAAAATGATTTTAGAGTTAATAATTATCATTGTTATTAACAATTATAATGAACAATTATCAAGTTTCTTTTGCATTTGAAAATATTTTCGGCATTTTTTAAATTTAAAATGTTTATATCATAAAATACTGTTTATAAAACTAATGATAAAATAAATAATTATTTCCTTCAGTTATACATACCAGCTCGTTAACAATCTTGAGAATATCATCTCTAGCGTCATGAGTGTTTGCCTCATAACCTGTGATAGTGATAAATCTCTCATCAGGCTCACCCTTGCGACGGAAATTAATTTGCACATCGTGATCTGTACGAATTTTCGTAATTACCGCTCCCTTTCGGCCAATAATTTTCGGATGATATTCGGGATCAACTTCAATCTGTAAAATAAAACAGAAATACATTTTTTTCGTTCTTTGCAAAAAGATAATTTATATTTTTTAATAATTATTTAATAATTTAATTATAATTAAACGTTTAATTAATATAAGTTCAAGTAATACCTTCAATTCGAAAGACTTTAATATTTTATCCTCTTTCTCGGCTTTGAGAATTTCGCATTTCTCCAAAATTGCTTGTTTTGCACTCTCAACATTGGCTGGAGTACCGCAGATCTGAAATTAAAAATATATTTTTTTTGTTACTTGAAGAAACATAAAGTATATATTTGTTCGTTAGAAAACAAGAAGTAAATTACTACATACCTCAATATAGTCGAGTCTTTCTTCAGCTGGGGAAAGTTTAATGTGAACATCATAAGTTTCCATTAATTCCCGAACATCCTTTCCTTTCTGTCCAATAATCGAACGATGGAAATCAAATGGAACCTCCACCTTTTTAGAAAAAAATTTAAATTTTTAATTATTAAATTCTTTCGACAAATTTTAATAACATTTTTCAAGAAATTCGATTAAACTTGCATTAAAAATAATTGAAATTCTGCAATGAGTTTTACTGTTTATGAAAATAATTGAATTATTACGAAGAATTTTATAAAAAAGTTTCAAACAATTAATTTTTTTCGAAAAAATTTATATTCTATTTTTAATAATTTAATTCCCGTGAAATTTTCATTATTTTAGAAAATAATTGAATATTCGTATAGAATTTTGTCAAAATTGTTTTTAAATAATTGAACTCTTCTCTAAATTTTTTTTTTTTAAATAGATAATTTGAAAATAATTGAAATAATTTGATTAATAATTGAATTAATTGAATTCTTTCAAAGAATTACGTTAAAATTTTTAAAATTGAAACTAATTTCATCTAATTTTTGTAAAGAATTTTAATAATTATTAAAATAGTTGAATTCTTTCAAAGAAGAATTGCAATAAAATTTTTAAAATTGAAAGTAATTTCATCAGAATTGAAATTACAATTTTTCAAAAAAAAATTCTTTATTAAATGATTTATAAGTAATAACTTTATTTTTTTGGAAAATAATCGAATGTTTCTGTAGAATATTATCAAAATTTTTGCTTATAAATTAAATTCTTTTGAGAAATTTTATTAAAATAGAATGTTGAAAGAATTAAGAAAAATTATTTGAAAATAATAAAAATTTTCCCATGAATATTATTAAAATTTTTGAAAATAATTGAATTTTATTAATTTTAAAAGTAATTGAATTCTTATGATGAATACTGTTATTTATGAAAATAATTTAATTTTGCAATGAATTTGATTAAAATTCCTGAAAATAGTTGAATTCTATCGAAGAATTTTGCTTTTCACATTTTATAAAGATAATTGAAATGTTGCCAATTTTTTTTAGATCTTTTAAAAATAATTGAATTTCTGCGAATAATTTTTTTTTTTACATTATAATATAAGAATATTGTTACTGTAACTTTTTCAAAATTATTTTCATCATTTCAATTCAATAATTATTAAATCTGAAAAATAAAAAAAAATTAATTTCTAAAAACGTACTTCAATTGTTGTTGGTACGAGATCGAGAAGAGCCTGTTTGGCATTAGCCGCATTTTCTGGCAAGCCGGTGATGCGAATAATGTCGCCCGGTGAAACGGCTGGAGCTTCATCTCCATTCTCGCCGTTTACTTGGTCCACTGGTTTCTCGTCTACTATAGAAATTCCCAAATAATTTGTATTTAATATTCGAAAATATACATTTAAATATATTATATTCTTATAAAAAATTATGAGATTATAATATTTTAATCATAATTTTTTATATAATTTAAAACAACATTTTTAAAGATAAATTACTCTCCTTAATATAAAATGTTTTCTTTTAACTTTAAAGTCAATCAAAATTTAACTTTAGTCAAAATTTTTATGAAAATAAAATACTTTTGCAAAATTAAAAATTACTTTTTACAAAAAAAATTTTTGTTTACCATAAGTATCACGATCGGGAATTTTAATTTGGACATCAAATTCAGCAGTAACGCTTTGTATTTTACAACCTTTAGCACCCATAACAGTTCGATGATATTTTCTCGGGATAATGCATTCAATTGTGATCATTGATTCCTAAAAAAAAAATGAAGTTTATTAATCTCTCTATTCTCACCTTTATCTTTTTTAGTTTTTTTTTTATATTTTCACATTAGAATTAATATGTATTTTGGTTTAATTATTATAAGATAGAAATTAATTTATTATATAATAGAAGTTCTTTTAAATTTATAGAGGTTTATAAATTTATCTTTAGTATAATTACATAATATAAAAATTAATAAGTACTATTATTAATTAATAATATTAATTATTTAATTAATAACTAAAAATATAATAATTTTTGTATTATGTTCGTTATTAAAATGTATATAAATATTGTATTAATTTTTTTTACCAAGTTTTGCACAATTTCACGCATACGTTGTTTGGCAGCTTCTATGCATTCGTGAGAACCCTTGAGAGTGACACGATTACTCTCGACACCGGGCCTTGGAAAAGAGATTTGCACACCTCCACATTCATCAGCAATTTTATGCAAAACTCCACCTCTCCTGGCAACGAAATGTCGATGATGCTTCAAGTCAATCAAAATTTCACCCTCGATTATGTTGTCCTATTGGAGAAATCATAAAGTAAAAATAATTAGAGAAACAAATGACAAATTTCAATTTGCTTTTTTTAGAGAACTTAATTAAAATAATTATGACAGTTAAATTAAAATTCAAGGATTTAAAACTTATTCTAAAAGGAAAAATTCTCACTATTTCACTGATGCATGCCTCCAATTCGGCTTTGGCCTTTTCCACCGCTTCTTTTTTACCCATAATAGTAATTAATTCCTTATCTTCATCTTTATCAGTCGGGAAGATAATTCGAACTCCTGTGGATTCACGAATCTATAAAGAAAATTAATTTAAGTAAAATATAAATTTTTATTAAAAAACAAATTGTTTTGTTGAATGAAGAAATTTTTTTGTAAATATGAAAAGACAGTAAAATTTTACCCTTTTGATATTAGCACCGTTTTTTCCTATAATAAATTTATGGTGTTGAGCCTTGGCGCGTATTTCTACAGTGTAACTCGAGAGTAATTTTTCATTAGTCAACTCTAATAGTTGTTGCTTTGCTTTCTCGACGTCTTCTTTTGGTCCTCTAATGCTAACCTGAAATTTTATAATTAAATTAAATTTAATATTCTTCCTTTCTATTTATTTCTATTGCAGACCTCGGATCGACTTTAAGGTGCAAAAAAAAGTCGCTTTAGTCGAAATAAAATAGAAAAAAGTCGAAAAAGTCGTTTATTTAATTCAGTGTTGTCAAAAAAATTTTATTTTGTATTTTCTGATCTTTCACTGATTTCTAAATTTAATTATTCAAAATTTGAATAATTTCGTTAAATAAATATTCAAATACTTCTTGTTTATTTCTATACAGGAATAAAATTTAAAAAATTTCTATTTAAAACCTTTTGAAATTTAATAAATTCTAAAAATTACAACTTCAATTCTCTTAAAATTCAATTATTTTCTACAATTTTTAATCAAACTTCTTCTCGAAATCAATTATTTTTAATAATTTTCCGAAAGTTCTTAAAGAATTCAATTATTTAAATACAACTAAGAATATTTTCAGGACCTTAATTTTTGTCAAATAAATGTGACCTTAAGGCCACAATATAAACAGATTTATTATTAAAATACAAAAATTCAGTTCTTTATAATGATTCCAACTGTCCCATGTTTTTTAAGTTATTAATTAATTTTCAAACAATTATAATTTAAAGAAATTCTTAAAATTAATTTTTCAAAACCTATTTTAAAAATAATTTATAAAAGATAATAGTTTTTCAATTATATAGAATTGAAAAATTTCCAAACAATTGAAATTTGGTAAATTCTATCAAAAAAAATAATTCAAGATTGAAAGAATTTTAATTATTAAAATAAACGCGATTTCTCCAAAATTTTAATAAATCTAAAAAAGTCATGTGTTTGTTAAAATGTTAAAAATAATTGTAAAAAATTTTAATGTTATTATTTTTTGTATGTATTTGAATTTTTGGAAATTTGTATTTAAAACTATTGAGAATAATTGAATTTTAAAAAATTAGAATGCAAAAATTCTAAGAATTATTTTTATCAAAAATATTTTAATATAATTTTTTTGTAGCTAATTTTCATTAATTAGCATTTTTAAATTTACACTCGAAGATTTTTCATTAAAAATTTTGCGAGAAATCAATTATTTTCAAAAATTTACAATTAAAAATTCTTTTAAAGTTTATTTTCAAAAATTCTTATCAAACACTTTGAAAAAAATCAATTATTTTCAATTAAATTTTACAAAATTTCAATTATTGAAACTCTTTTTTATTGTAAATTTTAAAATTTTTATTTAGTATCTATTTATAAAAAAAAAGTTGAATTGTTTCGAAGAAATTATTAAAAATTTGTTGGAAATAATTGAATTTTATGGAAATATTTGAAAATATTTGAATTCTTACGAGAAATTCAATTAAATATGTTTTGAAAATAATTGAATTCGTGCAAAGAATTTTACTATATTTATAAAAATAATTGAATTCTTGTGAAGAATTTTACCATTTATAAAAATAATTGAATTGTTTCGAAGGATTTATTAAGATTTTGGAAAATAATTGAATTTATTCGAAATATATTAAAAATTGTTTTAAAAATTAAATTCTTCCGAGGAATTTAATTTCAATTATTTTAAAAATTTGCAATTAAAATTCTTCGAATGCTGATTTTCAAAAATTTATTAAAAACACTTTTAAAAAAATCAATTATTTTTAATTAAATTTTACAAAATTTTCAATATTTATTAAAACACTTTTCAATTGTAAATTTCGAAAATAAGTTGCATTTTATACTAAAAATTATTGCAATATTCGGAAAAAAAGTCGAAAAAGTCGTAATTTTTGAAAATAAGTCGAAAAAAGTCGAAAATGTTATAAAATCCGAGGCCGGCTATTGGGAAATAATTGAAAATTTACCTTATCGCTCTTACTATCCGAAGATGGGAATTTAATAGTGACACCTCCGCAGTCTTCCATTATGGATTGAATCAATTTACCACCGGTACCAATAAGCGTATTATAAAATTTCGGAGGTATTGCTATTTCATCAGTAACAGTGGCAGTCTAAAAAGAAGCATTTTTTTAAAAATAAAAATAAGCAATTAATTCAATTAATTAATAATAAAGCAATTATTTTAAAATATTTTTTAAAAATAATATTTTCTTACCATTTCATTTTGGATTTTTTGAATTTTATCCCTAGCCTCTTCGACATTTTCCTTTTTGCCAGTAATTGTTATTACATCACTTTTCTCACCTTCGGCTGGCAAATCGATTTTCGTTTGCGTCTCCTCGCGAATCTATTTTGAAAAGAAAGAAAATTTCCCTTTTTGTATTTTTTTTTAAAGAAAAATTAATAAACTAACAAAAAGGAGAGAAATAAAAAAAAATGTAGAAACATTTTTATATAAAACGTACTTAAGAAAAAAAAACGAACCTTGCGAATATTGACGCCACCTTTGCCAATGATGAATTTATGGAATTGCTTGAAAATCGGCACCTCTAGAACGTAGCTACTTTCACGCATTTCCTTCACCAGTTTCATTAAATATTTATGACACTTTTCAACGTCTTGTTTAGGACCGCGAATTTTCACTGCACCTGCTTTGTCTCCTTAAACAAATTTTTAAAGAAATTAACTTTTTATTCCAAAAGAAAGTTGAAAATAAAAAAAAAATATAAAAGCTTACCTTGAGCTGGAATAATGATTTGCACTTGATTGAATTTATCACGAATTTCTTTAATATTATCGCCTTTAGAACCAATAATTTTACGATAGAAACGCGGCTCAATTGCAACGTCCTTCTCGACTTCGTTCTCCAATTTTTCCACCATTTCCAACAATTCCTGAAAGATGAAAATTTATAATTTTTGGTAAAAAGAAAGCAAGTTGAAAAAAATCGAAACTCAATTTCAAGAATAAGAAAAGAAGAAAAAATGAAATAAAAAATCATTTTTGAATCTCCAGAGTTGTTACAAAAATTTAATTTTGCTTTGCCTGATTTCCAGGCAAAATTTTGACTTTTTTCCTAACCATAAAGAATATTCTGATTCACTCTAAAATATAAGATACTCAAAAAAAACGTTCTATTACATTTATTTATTGTAACTTCTTCAAAATTATTTTCATCAATCAATTATTTTTAGTAATTTTTGAAAAAATTTTTCTTTGAAAATTTTCAAATCCATTTGTTTCACAATTGAATTTTACTTGAAATTCAAATTATTCGGAAATTCTTCAATTAAATATAACATTAAAAAATAAAAACTTGAAATAATTTTAAAAATTTCAATTAAGTTTTTTGAAAAAAATAGTTCTATAGAATTTTTTAATTAAAAATATGAAAAATTCAGATTTTCAAATATTTTAATTTGAAACCTTTACAAAATTCAATTATTTCTAAAAATTGCAATTATTAGTAACTTTTCCAAAATTCAATTATTATCTAAAACTATAACTGAAATTAATTTCCAAATCAATTTTCAATAGAAAATTCTACTATTCGATTATTTAAATACAAACATAGATAATTCATTGAATAATTGAATGTTTCTTAAAATTTAATTCTCAAAGAATTTTATCAACAAATTTTTAAATATTTGAATTCATTCGACGAATTTTAATAAAATTTTTAAGAATAATTACATTTTTCGATGAATTTGATTAAAATTATATTAAAAATAATTGAAATTATGAAATGAGTTATATTATTTATGAAAATAATTCAATTCCTGTAAAGAATTCAATTACTTTTGGTAAATAGTTTAACTCCTGTGAAGAATTTTATTATTTATCAAAAATAATTGAATTCCTTCGAAGAATTTTATTATTTTTGGAAAATAATTGAATTGCTGCGAATAATTTTATTCTTTTTTTGCAAATAATTGAATTTCTGTGGAGATTTCATTAATTTTTTTTAAAAAAATTGAATTTCTGCGAAGAATTTTATGGTTTTTGTTTTAAATAATTGAATTCCTGGAAAGAATTTTATGAAAAGTTTTTACATAATTGAATTCTTACGAAGAATTTTATTAATATTTAAAACTAATTGAATTCTTTTGACGAATTTTAATAAAATTTTTAAGAATAATTAGATTTTTCGAGGAATTCGATTAAAATTGAATTAAAAATAATTGAAATTCTGTAATGAGTTTTATTAATTATGAAAATAATTGAATTATTGCGAAGAATTATGTAAAAAAATTACAAACTATTGATTTTTTTCGAGAAAATTTATGCAAATTCTATTTTTAATAATTGAATTTCTGTGAAATTTTCATTATGTATTTTAGAAAATAATTGAATATTCGTGTTGAACTTTGTCAAAATTGTTTTTAAATGATAGAATTCTTTTGGGAAATTTTATTAAAATAATAGATATAGAAATTATTGAAATTAGAAAAATGTTTTAAAATAATTGAAATTTTGCAATGAATTTTATTTAAATTTTTGAAAATAATTGAATTTTATTACTTTTGAAAATAATTGAATTCTTTTGATAAATATTGTTATTTACGAAAATAATTGACTTCCTCCAAATGATTTTATTATTTATCAAAATAATTCTTATGAAATTTATATTTTTTGAAAAATAATTGAATTTAATTGAATTAAATTGAAATTAAATTGAAATAATTGAATTTAATTGAATTTAATTTTTGTTTAATAATAGAATTCTTTTGGCAAATTTTATTAAAATAGTAGAATATTGAAAATCATTGAATTAAGAATAATTTTTCAAAATAATTGAAATTTTGCCACGAGTTTTATTAGAATTTTTGAAAACAATTGAAATTTATTACTTTTGAAAATAATTGAATTCTTGTGATGAATACTATTATTTATGAAAATGATTGAATTTTGCAATGAATTTTATTAAAACTCCTGAAAATAATTGAATTTCGGCGAAGAATTTTGCTATTTAAAAAGATAATTGAAATGTTGGCAAATATTTAAAAAAAAATTTTGAAAATAATTGAATTTCTGGAAGGAATTTTAATATTTATGAAATTAGTTGAATTCTTTCAAAGAATTGCGATAAAACTTTAAAAATTAAAAGTAATTTCAACAGAAATGAAATTAAAATTTTTCAAAAAAATAATTCATTAAATGATTTATAAATAATAACTTTATGTCAGTTCTTCAATAGAATTAAGATGTTTAAAATGAATTATTGGCAGAAATAGAAAAAATTTAATGTTTTTTTTAGAATTCGTGGTAATTTCTTAGTTTATGAGACAAACAAAAAGACACAAAAATTCAGAATCCCTGACTTTTTCCTGATTTCCCTAATCTGTGGCAACATTGATTTCGTTATTGAAGAAAATTTACCTTTTCGGCTTCTTTAACTCCAGTATGATTGCCCTCAATTCGTATCAAATTGACACCGCAATTCTCGGAAATTGTGATAACAACTCCCATTTCAGTCTTCAAGCGGTTTACTAGCATGAGAAAATTATTTTTTATTTATTCTTTCTGTTTAATAAATATTTCTATATATGATAATTAATAATTATTAATCAATTTAAATATTTCTATTAAATTTAATGCAACGAAATTTATTTTTACCATTTGCACCATTTTTTCCAATGATATGCTTGTAATATTTTGGATGTATATTGAGTTCGGTGAATGTTAATTTGGCAACAAAATCTTCAACCATTGATTGAATAGTTTTTTTCACCCTCTCAACCTCCTCTGGTGGGCCTTCAATTTTAATGCGATTTTCCTTATCGTTAAATTCAACATTCACCTTGCCCATGTCCTGAGTTATTTTTTTGATATTCGCTCCTTTTGGACCAATAATATATTTGTGAATCCATGCCGGCGCATCAACTCCATCATTACACATGCTATTCGCCTTTTCGTAAACCTTACTCAAGGCTGAAAACAAAAAACAATTTAATCTTCTTTTTCGACTTATTTATTAATTTTTATATTTTTTATTAGTTTTCAAAAAAGTAGTTGCAAATTTTTCTTAATTAAAAACTAAATTTTTTGTTCTATTTTCTCACCAATTCCAAGTTTATCATGAGGACCTCGAAGAGTAATTGTTCCCACTGAGGAATCGGCAGCTGGTATTTCTACACTAACTCCAGTTAATTGGAGAATTTCATTAATAGTACTGCCCTTGGGACCAAGAACATATTTGTGCTGAGACTTGGGAACTTCCACGGAAACTGTTGCGCATCGCTTCTCCTAGGATGGGAGAAATTTTCATTTTACAAGGAAATATAAATTAATATATTAAAAAAAGAATTATTGATAGATAAAAAATGTATATCTTCATAAAATAATAATAATAATCTTCAATAAATAAATATTATGACATAATAATTAAATATATAATTTATAAATAAAAAAGAATGTAAAGCACGCTTTGAAATCATACCATGTCAGCATGAATGGCCTCAATTCGCTCCTTAGCAAGAGCAACACCTTCAGTCTCGCCTGCAATTGTAATTTCATCCTTTTGAACCGATAGAGGTGGAACGTTAATAAGGGCTCCAGTCTCGGCGATGAGCTTCGTCAGGTTCTCATTGTGAGCACCCACAACAAAGGGATGATACATTTTTGGCACTGATACCCTCACGAAAGCTTTCCTCGACTATGATAAGAAAAAGATAATAAATAAAATTATAAAGAAAATCGCGAAGAAAAATTATAAATTCATTCAATTCAATGAATTTTTGTAAAAAAAAATAAAGAAATTTAGAAGCGAATATTTTATAAATATAAAAGCACTTAAAAAATTTTCAAAAAACGATCATGACTCAATATAATTCTCAGCCGACGAACAAATAACGAATCCTAATAAAATTCGTTCCCTTATGGTAAGATTTTAATGATTTGCGGATCGTATCTTAAAAAGGAACACATACATTTTTTTCAACTTAAATCTTAACCTTAATTAATAAATTTTTTGAATTTTAAGAATAATAAAAGATTTTTAAAATTTGCAGACTTCGCAATCGATAATTAATTTTAAAAAAGCAGCTTTCAAAAGAATAAAAAAATAGTAAAAAAGTAGCTATCGGAAAATTAAACTTGACGACAAAAAAAACTCGTTCTAAACACTTCGCAAAACTGACAAAAATTACATTTTATATTTTATTTTCCTGACTGTTTTCGAAAAAAAAATTTTTTTACTCACGAAAAATATTTACTTCTTTCTTATCTTGCTAATAAATTCAATTCCTGCAGCGAATTTTATTATTCATGAAAGAATTTAAATATTTAGAAAAATAATTTAATTCTTGCGAAGAATTTTATAAAATTTTTTAAATAATTCATTTCTTTCGACTAATTTTATGCAAATTTTAATTTAAATATTTAAATGCATGAGAAATTTTTATTATTCATGAAAAGAATTGAATTCTCTTACATAGATTTTTACAAAAAATTTTTTAAATTATTTAATTCTGTTTGGAAATTTTATGAAAATAGTAGTTATTCAAAATCATTAAATTGCGAAAAGTTTTTAAAAATATATAAATTTTACAAAGAATTCTATTAAAATTTTTGACAATAAATGAATTTCTGTGTGGTATTTGATTAAATTTTATAGAAAATAATTGAATTCCTAAAAAGTATTTTATTATTCATGAAAATAATTGAATTCTTGCGAACGATTATCTTAGAATTTTTTTATATAATTGAATTTCCAAGAAAGAATTTATTACTTTTAAAATAATTGAATGCTTGTGATGAATATTGTTATTTATGAAAATAATTGAATTTTGCAAAGGATTTTATTAAAATGCCTCAAAATAATTGAAATTTCGGGAATAATTTTATTTAGAGGTGTGCATTTAATCGAGTTGAACCGAACATTAATCGATTCAACAACAGAAAATTCGAATCGAATTTTCTCTCGATTCGAATCGGCCAATTCGAAGTTTCGAATTTCGAATTGCTCGACTCGACTCGAGTTTCGAATAATTCGGCCAATTCGAAACACAACATACTGCATACACTACATAGCAATTCGAAAGTCTAACTTCGATTTTCGAATTGGTCGAATTTATTCGAAACTCGAGTCGAGTCGAGCAATTCGAAATTCGAAATTTCGAATTGGCCGATTCGAATCGAGAGAAAATTCGAGTCGAGCAATTCGAAATTCGAACCTTCGAATTTCGAATTGGCCGATTCGAATCGAAAGTTAAGGGGTCTTGTAACTTTTTTAGCCCTAAAATTGGATGATTTTAAAAAAATTTTTGCTCATAAGTTTAAAAATATAATTGATCAAAAGTTTTTACATGTCATTGTGTATGTAAAGAAGTTTTAAAAAAAGGATTTCAGATTGGAAAAAATATATATACCTTCCTTCTACAGGGGGCGCTTTGTCTACTAGTAAAAATTACTTTCAATTACGGTTGTCACTGTAGCTCATAGCAGAATCATCTAAAATAAAAAAATCAAACATAATTTCAAAATAGATGACTTAATACAGGACCTAAACCTCGAAATACTTAAAAACATCAAAAAATAAGAAAATAGCAAGCTTTTGAATCTAAAAATCTGAAAAAACACAATTTTTTTAAACATAAATGATACACAAAAAGTGTAATTTTGAACATTAAAAGTAAATCAGAGGTTTAGATCCTGTATTAAGTCGTCCATTTTAAAATAAAATTTGATTTTTTAATTTTAGACGATTCTGCTATGAGCTACAATGACAACCAGTAATTTTTACCAGTGGCCAAAGTGCCCTCTGTAGAAGGAAGATACTTATGTTTTTTCAAATTTGAAATTCTGTTTTTAAGACTTCTTAACATACACAATGACATGTAAAAACTTTTGATCAATTATATTTTAAAACTTATGAGCAAAAAATTTTTTAAAAACTTCTGATTTTAATGCCTAAAAAAGTTACAAGACCCCTTAACCGAGTCGAGTTGAGCAATTCGAAATTCGAACCTTCGAATTTCGAATTGGCAGTTCGAATCGAATTTTCTCTCGATTCGAATTTTGCACACCTCTAATTTTATTATTTATCGACATAATTAAATACTTTCGTAGAATTATTTATGTAAATAATTCAATTCTTGGGATGAATTTTATTAAAATCTAAAAGAATAATTGACTTATTTACAAAAAAATTTAATTAAAATTGTATTTCAAATAATTGATTTCTTTCGAACAATTTTATTGAAATATTTGAAAATAATTGAATTCCTGTGAAAAATTCTAATATTTTTGTAAATAATTGAATTTTAAAAAAACATTTTTTCAAATAATTGATTTTTTCGAGGAATTGAAATTAAATTTTAAAGAATAATTACATCTTTTTGAGCAATTCCTGTAAAATTGTATTAAAAATAATTGAAATCCTGTGAAAAATTGTAATATTTTTATAAATAACTGAATTTTGCAAAGATTTTTATTAAAATGTCGCAAAATAATTGAATTTTCAGGAATAATTTTGTTATTTATCGTCAAAATTGAATTCTTTCGAAAAATTATTTATGTAAATAATTGAATTCTTGTGAAGAATTTTATTTAAATCTAAAAGAATAATTTAATTATTGCAAAAAAATGTAATTAAAATTGTATTTAAAATAATTGCTTTCTTTCGAAAAATTTTATTAAAATACTTGAAAATAATTGAATTCCTGTGAAATTTTTATTTTTTTGGAATATAATTGAATGTTTATGTAGAATATTATCAAAATTTATGTTTAATAATTGAAGTATTTTGAATAAATTTTATTAAAATTTTCAAAAATAATTGAATTCTTCTGATGAATTTTATTATTTATGAAAATAATTAATTGCAAAGAATTTTATTAAAATGCCTCAAAATAATTGACTTTTCGGGAATAATTTTGTTATTTATCGACATAATTGAATTCTTCCGAAGAATTATTTATGTAAATAATTAAATTCTTGGGAAGAATTTTATTAAAATCTAAAAAAATAATTGAATTATTTAATAAAAATTTAATTTAAATTTTAAAATAATTGTTTTTTTTCGAACAATTTTATTAAAATATTAACTTGAAAAGAATTGAATTCCTGTTATGTAGAAAATTCTAATGTTTTTTGTGAATAATTGTTTTTTTCTACGAATTGAAAATAAAATTTTTAAAATAATTGCATTTCTTGAGTACATATTAAAATTAATTGAAATCCTGCGATGAATTATATTATTTATGAAAATAATTGAATAGTTGCAAAGAATTTTATTACAATTTTCAAAAATAATTGAATTCCTGAGAAGAATTTTATTATTTATGAAAATAATTCAATTATTTCGAAAATTGTTATTAAAATGTTTAAAAAGAATTGAATTTCTGTGAAATTTTTTTTAATTCTTGAAAATAATTGAGTTTTTTATTAGAATGTTATAAACATTGTTTGAAATAATTAAGTTTTTCAAAATATAATAAATATTATAAAAATTTTATTTTAAATAATTGAATTCTTGTGCAAAATTTTATTTGTGAAAATAATTGAATTTTTCGATTAATTAATTTAAAATGGCATTTAAAATAATTGAAATTCTTCGATGAACTTTATTATTTATGAAAATAATTGAATTCTTGTTTAGAATTTTATTAAACATTTTTTTTTAAAAATTGAATTTCTAGGAAAAATTTTATTATTAGTTAAAGTATTTGAATTATTGTGAAGAATTGTATAAAATTTTTGTTAAATAATTGGTTTTTTCTAAATTCTTTGAAAATTCTATTCTTAATTAATTGAATTCCTGTGGAAATTTTATTATTTATGAAAATAATTGAATTTTATCAATTTGTTTTTAAATAATTGAATTCTTTTGCCAAATTTTATGAAAATATTAGATATTGAAAATAATTAAATTTCGAATCTTTTTTGAAAATAATTGAATCGTTTTAAAGAATTTGATTATAATTTTTGAGAATAGATTTTTTATTTCTAGTATTAGCGAATTTAAAGTAGTGGAAATTCTCAAAAAAACCAGAAATAGTAGCTTTTAATGGCTGTAATCTAAAAAATACCCTAATAATTGCATAACTTTTTACTACGTAAAAAGTAGTAAAAAGTAGGTTTTGGTAGATGAGTGCGAAGCCTGCTTTTGGTCAAATTTTTTAATTTATGTCCTGTAAGCAACGGATAACGAATCCACATATGATTGGCTTTCATTGTCCGTTTGGTCAGATTTTTAATTTTTGTCCTCTAAGCAACGAATAACGAATCTAATTGATTCGTTTATTATTTAACCGTTTGATCAAATTTTTAATGTATGTCCTGTAAGCAACGGATAACGAATCTAATTGATTCGTTTATTATTTAACCGTTTGGTCAAATATTTAATTTATGTCCTGTAAACAACGGATAACGAATCCAAATATGATTCGCTTTAATTGATCGTTTGGTTACATTTTTAATTTATGTCCTGTAAGCAACGAATGACGAATCTAATTGATTCGTTTATTATTTAACCGTTTGGTCAAATTTTTAATTTATGTATTGTAAGCAACGAATAACGAATCTAATTCATTCGTTTATTATTTAACCTTTTGTCAAATTTCGAATTTATGTCCTGTAAGCAACGGATAACGAATCCAAATATGATTCGCTTTTATTGTCCGTTTGGTCAGATTTTTAATTTATGTCCTGTAAGCAACGAATGACGAATCTAATTGATTCCTTTATTATTTAACCGTTTGGTCAAATTTTTAATTTATGTCCTGTAAGCAACGAATAACGAATCTAATTGATTCGTTTATTATTTAACCGTTTGGTCAAATTTTTAATTTATGTCCTGTAAGCAACGAATAACGAATCTAATTCATTCGTTTATTATTGAACCTTTTGTCAAATTTCTAATTTATGTCCTGTTAGCAACGGATAACGAATCTAAATAATTCTTATCCAATTTCTTTGCAAATCTACTTCTATCTGCTCCTTTACGTTAATAAAAAATAATTCTCTTCTTCTTTGCAAACTTCTTTCTTCTTTTCTCACCTGTTCGTCAGAAATAACACGAATATCATGTTCGGCTTTTTCAATTCCCTCTTTTGTCCCCGTGATGGTTACAATATCGGATTGTTCCTGAAATGCAGGCACCATAATTTTCGTCGACGTAACTTTCTCCAATTCCTTTAGTCTCTGTCTTTGCTTTCCAAGAATCCATCTGTGATGTTCCTTAGGAATATTAATTTGTTTCGTTGACTGTAAAAAGAAATTTTTTTTTATTGTTATTTTCCATAAATTGAAATTAAATTATTTTCATAAATTTCCATAAAAAAATTAAAGTAGTAAAGAAAAGAAAGTAGAAATAATTTATTCTCACTTGAGTTTGGAAATTGGTTAAAATTCGACGTTTCGCTTCAAGGACCTGCGATTCTTTTCCAGTGACAAGGAAAGTTAATGACTGATCCTTTGACGATGCAATTTCAATGTGTGCACCCGATTCCTTGGTGATTAATTGGCAAGTGCGAATTGATTCGCCTTCACCAAATTTATCGCTGTGATCGAATTTCCTCTCCTCAACTGGTACACGAAAAACCTACATTTGAAACCGGAAAAATTAAAATATGTTCCTTAAGATATAAGACAATTTTTATAAATTTTAGAGTATAAGAATAGTTGTTATAATTATTAGAATAATAAAATTTGATTCTTACGTGAGTAACAACGGAACACCCGACGCGCATTCGATTATTGCCTTGAAGCGGGGGATTTGGACTGCTGGTGGTCGATCCTGTTGATTCCGGAAGGAGTGGAAAAGTCTCGTCGTAAGTTGGAGGCTCATAGGCCGGTCCCTCTTCCATTACTGATGGCTGCTGCATTTTCGGATTGTCCTGTGTCGTGCCAAGTCCTTACAGTAGCACTAAATTTAAAAAAAACAAATTTATTCCAATTAATATCGTAAAAAATTATACAAAACGAAATTCGGGGTAAATCAACACAAATTACGGGGCAATAACGATCAACTCTTTCTAACAACCATCTCCCCTATAATTTTCTTCACTGTTTCAAAACACACATTAAACTTCTATAATTGATGCGGGTTGAAGAATTTTTTTTCTAATTTGTAACCTTTTTCCATTTAATTCATTTAAATAGCCAAACAAAACCTCAACTGTGGTTTCTTTTATTTCAAATAAATTAAACTACGTAATTTAACATCAAATGATATACATTTTTTATTTAAATTTAGTAAAATTTCAATTCAAAATTTAATTTTAATAATAGTCATTTTTCCAGTTTTTATTTTATAAAATATTTTTAAAAAATTATTTTTTAAAATATTTTTTCAAATAATTTTTTTTTTAAATTGAAGAAAAATACTTTTTAAACTTAATCAAAGAAAAAACATATATTAATCTACAGAATGTTTGTTACGTAATTTTTTTTATAAGTCCATCTTGAAATGAATGAAAATGAAAACAATTATTAAATCATATATTTTTCGTGTTAAACAAGATTATAATAATCGACTCAATGACTTAAATTAGAATAATCGTTACCCGAAAATGTTCTTATCTCGTAAAATTAAGGATAAATTCTCATTGAAATTAGTTTCAGTTAAGGTCAAAGGTGTTTGAAAAAAAATATTACACAAAACGCAATCTAATCGTCACACAACTGATAAAAGAAAAAAAAAGAAATTCACTTTTTAAAAAAAAGTGTATTTTAAATGTATTATTAAGCATCTCGATATATAAATTTTTCAGGTCTTTAAAAAGTGAAAATTACATTTAAATTTTTTTTTAAACACAGGGATTTTATTGTTTTTGGAGAATATGACAAAATGAATTTTAATTATTTGCAAAATTTTAGGGTAAAATTAAAAATCTTAAAATTATTTTTAAAATTACATTCAAATTTCGAAAAATTTAAAAAATGTTAATCTTTTAAGCTCAATTTTTAAAATGGTATGTAAAAATTTAAACACTTTGGTTTAATTTTTTTAAAATATCTTAAAACTTTTGGATTAATCTAAATTTTTAAATGTTTGCCTTAAAATTTTTTAAATTTCAGTCAAACATAAAAAAATTAAAATTAGATATTTTTTATACCTAAAATCTTTAAAAATTTTAAAGATTTTTAAATTTAAATTAATTATTATTAAATTAAAATTAAAAAATATAATTAAAATTAAATTATTAATAATTATTTTTTAATTTTTTAAATTTTTTTTTTTTTTTTTGCTAAATACTTTTAAAATTAAATACTTTTGTATTTTAAAAAAATTTATTCTTTAACCCTGATTTTAAAAATAAACTTTAACTTAGTTTCTAAACGTTTTTAAATTATAAAATTCTTCAATTCTGTAACAAAATTTAAGAATCTTTTAACTAAACACTTTTTAAATTGTGATTATAAAGAAATATTTAAAAAATTGTAATCCCTTATTTTTTAAAATAATTAAAAATATTTTCAAATGTTTTAACTAAATTAAAAAATTTTAGCATATATTTTTTTTAAAGTTTAATAAAATATCCAAAATCCTAAAAAAAAATTATATTTCATCTTAAGTTTTAAAAATTATACTTGAAAAATTTTTAAATTTTGTTAAAATATTTGAAAATATTTTTAAACATAATTTAAAATATTTTAAAATGTTTAACTAAATTTAAAGTTTTTACCCTTTTTTCAAGTTGTAATAAAATATCAAAAATCTTTTAAAAAAATTATATTTTACCTTAAGTTTTAAAAAAACACTTACAAATTTTTTTAAATTGGTTCTGATTTAAAAATTTCTAAAAATAATTTTGAAAATCGGGTAAAATATGGAAAATTCAAATAAATTTCATTACTTTATTCTAATTGAAAAAAATTTTTTGTTTTTAAATTCAATTCTTAAAAAATTTTTATTTAATATTTTAACTTCTATTTTTGAAATTTAAAATTGAAAAAATTCACAATTCTAACAAAATTAAAAATAAAGAAGTAAAATAAAATACAGTTTCTAGCAAGAGATGAATTTAGGAAAAAAATTTACAATTTTCTGAATTTTCTTTTCTGAAAATTTTTTTAACAGTAAAAAGAGACCCTCCCAAAAAATAAAATTGATGAACAGAATTTTTTTTTCTCTCCCCCCTCTTGTTAGAAGAAGAATTATAAAAGAGAAAATTTTCTTTTCCAACTTATTTTATAATACATAAAATTTGCGTATTTTCATTTAAAAACATGACAAAATCAATTCTCTGTTTTATAAAAGAAACACGAACAAATGTTTAATTAATATATTCAATAATCGAATAAAATGCCAGCATGTCAATGACCAATGGTGGAGACAGTAACCACCATATGGAATGGAATGTTTCACTTTGACACGTCACAAGATCGCTAACCTCTTTCACGTCTCATTTTTTTAATGACACCACAAAAATCTCTCCATTCTAAATTTTACCAATTCATTCAACTAGTTCCACACGTTTTCCCCGATAACGATAAAATCATTCTGTCAATTTCCAAGGCGACAAAAATCAAATGTGTATGTGCCTCTGCTGTATGTATATATATATATATAGATGTGTGTGACCTTACCCGAAGGGGGAAAAAAACCGAAATGAAACTGCCCAGAGAGAGAGAGAAGAGAGAAAAGAAAAATGCGAGTAATAAAAATTGAATGAAAAAAAAGACACTTACTGTACCGTAATACTAGAATCCGGCCAAGAAATAAACTTCTATCACGTCGCCAGTTTCCTTTAATAATCCACCTGAAACATTTTTCAAGAAGAAAAAAAAATAAAATATATTTTTATCTTATTTAAAATGAAAAAATCACTCGTTTATATAGACACACACCACTTTGAATATATTATAGAAAAAAAAGAGAAAGAATTTTGAAAAAAAAATCACCGAGAGAATAGAACACTATTCGACGAAAATGCAACTGCGACTTCACTTACCGGTAACGCAAAGTGAAATGAGGCAAATTTAGGATTGGTCAGATTGGTCTCAATTCGGGGAAAAAATAGTCACCATCTCTTATCTTGTTTAGGGGAAAAGAGATGGGTTGTGTGTCTCGTCAAAGTTTTATCTTTAAGGGAGCATTTACACCTTCGGTAAAAATTTCCCGAACGGAAAATTTTTCATTGGAGTAAGAGAGACAGACTGTGTATCTGACTCTCTTACTCCAATGCAAATTTCCCTTTCTGGACAATTTTTACAGATGGTGTAAACGCTCCATAAGGCCTCTCTTTATTGCAAGACGATTATTGCCGTTAATATTTCCCATTGTTGGAAAATTCTCCGTCATGGTGGGATAACAATGTCGATAAAGTTGAAAGAAACTCTAGTAAAAATTGCCCAGAACGGAAAATTGACATTGGAGTGAGAGAGACAGACTGTGGCTGTCTCTCTCACTCTAATGTCAATTTTCCGTTCTGGACAATTTATACCGAAAGTGTAAATGCTCCATGAAGATTTTAATAAAGGCCAACGCAGAATAGATCTGTAACCGGAACCGCAATCGTAACCGTGAGCGTAAGAATGAGTTAGAGAAGGATAAACAATATACCTATCCTTCTTTAACTCATTCTTACGGTTACGCTTACGATTGCGGTTCCGGTTACAGATCTATTCTGCGTTGGCCTTAAACAAACGGTATTAGGGTATTTCTACACATCGGTCAGCAAACACAATCCCTCTTATTTCAACATTTTGGAATGCTGAATTTATGAACCAAGCTGCAGGTTACGTTCATAATAGGCTCTCTTTTTACGCGCTTAGGCCGCAGTCCCATGGCGGCGTTTTGCGTTGCGTTGTAATAAGAGAGAATGCAGCAAACGTATATTTGCGTCTTTTTCTCTCCCATTACGACGCAACGCAAAACGCTGTCATGGGACTCCACCCTTAAGCTGTATCTACAATTAGAAAGTAAGACGCGAAACGCGAGAAATTGCCATGTATTTTTCTCGCGTTTCGCGTTTGCGTCGCGCGTTTCTCAACTTTTTTCCGTATTGTAGAGGCAGCATTAGGGTGGAGTCCTATGACAGCGTTTTGCGTTGCGTAGTAATGGGAGAGGAAAAGACGCAAATATACGTTTGCTGCATTCTCTCTCATTACAACGCAACGCAAAACGCTGCCATGGGACTACGGCCTTAGGGTGGAGTCTCATGACAGCATTTTGCGTTGCGTCGTAATGGGAGAGAAAAAGACGCAAATATACGTTTGCTGCATTCTCTCTCATTACAACGCAACGCAAAACGCTGCCATGGGACTCCAGCCTTAAGGTACCGTCCCATGACGGCGTAAAGCGTCGGCGTAAAGCAGAAATCGTGCGATAGAAAGAGATGAACAGATATCACGTTCTCACTCTCTCACATGGTTTACGCTTTACGCCGACGCTTTCACGCCATCATGGGACGGTACCTTTATGCTGCATCTACATGGTAAAGATAACGCGAGACGCAACGCAAAAAAATAATTTTAAAAAAATTGAAAAAAACCTTATATTTTTTACTAATAAATAAATAATTAAATAAATAAAATAAAAAAAGTAATTAAAAAAAAATTGAAAAAAACCTTATATTTTTTATTTATAAATAATTAAATGTATAAAATAAAAAATTTTTTTAAAAATCTTATAATTTTTGCAACTTATCCGATTGTGGATGAAACCTTTATTTTCGCCTTTAGAGCAAGAAGGACAAACGATAATGTATCGCATTTCGCAAGTTCTTCTACTCCACCACCGCATTCGACACTTTAATTTCCCCACCCTGACCAAAACAGTTATTTATTTATCCACCTAACGGAACTTGCTTCAACTACATTTTTCCAAATAAAAAACTGAAAAGCGCATGCGTGAAATTTTTAGTTAAATTTTCAACATGGTGGAACGCAGGAAAAACAGAAAGCGCAAAGACGTGAGTATCAGAGACATATGGAATTTAAAAAAAAATGTATTCCCCTCAACAATTAATTATTAATGGAAATTTATAAATTTCAATTAATATTTTTATTTCACAATTTATTTCAATTCTATTATTATCAAACATTAACAAAAACACTGTTGTCATCTTGATCAAAAAATGACAGATCTTTCTCTTTTCTTTCTCTCTCTCACTCTGCCGTCCTGGTTTTGGGAATTTTATGATGACGTAGACAAAACAATTACTTAAATTTTTTATTCCTTTTATTGTTATTTAAAAAATATTAAATTATAAAAAAATTTTCCAAGTTTTTTGTGTCAATTCTTTTTTGGAGTGATTTTGTAATTTTTCTTTATTCGGAACGATTGTCGTATTTTTTTGTGCTCCTTTACATATGAAAATTGAGAGAGAAAAAAATGACACCTGTTCATACATATTCTATCGACAGTGTGAAAAATAAATAAAAAATTATGAATTTTAAGATATTTTATTGTAAACTGAATATTAATTCTAGGAAATTATTTGAAAATTCGGAGAATTGTTATTTCTTTTCGGGGCAATAAAAGTACTTTTACAATAGTGATATGAATTTTATCTTTTTTTTTGTATAAAAATGACGTGAAAACGTTTCGTTAAAAGAAGGTTAGTTACTTTGTTTTTAAAATTTAATTACAAAGTGCAATTTTTTATTTATCTGGCTTTTTTTATTGGTTGAGGAACGTGACGATTATCAAGGTTGAACTAATAATTTTTCCTTTTTTTTCCTTTACGTTATTAAAATGAAATTAATTTTTTATGTCTAATTCATTATTACCTACAAGTTCAGTGATAATTATGTGATTTGAAATTAAGTTTTCTGGATTTAGAAATTAATTGCGAATAATTTACCAACAATTACATTCTTTTTAATTATTTTATTTTTTAATAATTTATTATTTTTATTTTTTAATTATTATTTAAAATTTTTAGCCATGAGTGAGAGAATGTAAAATATTAAGGGAAGATCTTATAAACATTGTAGAAATATTTTTGTCTAACCAAATATAATGAAGAGGATCTCTTAAACAACGAAGAAACATTTTGTTCTAAACGATGAGAATTTTATTATTACAATTTTATTATCTAACCAAATATTATGAGGCAAATCTCTTAAACACCAAAGAAACATTTTGTTCTAAACGATGAGAATTTTATTATCTAACCAAATATTATGAGGAGAATCTCTTAATAACGCCAAAGAAACATTTTGTTCTAAACGATGAGAATTTAATTATTACAGTAAATTTTATTTTATTATTCAATATTTCTTAATTTATTTTTATTTTTCGAAATATTTATTTTATTGCTTCAAATTTTTAAATTATTTGATACAATTTTTAAAAATATAATTTTAATAAAATAAGAAATTTTTAATTAGAAATTTTATTCAATTTTAATTTAGAAATAAATTTGCTTTAATTTAAAAATCAATTTCTACCTATTTTAATATAAAGATAAAGTTTTTGCTTAACTTTAAAAATTGATTTTCAACTTACAGTTAAAAATTTTGTATTTTAATTTGAAAATAAAATTTTTCATTTAAGAATTAAGTTTTTATTTTAATTTGAAAATTAATTTTTTGTTTTAATTTAAAAATCAAGTTTTCATTTTTATTTAAAGATAAATTTTTGTTTAAATTTTGTGGTATCTTTTCAATTTTTAATTTTGAACCTTGATGACGTTTCAGTTTGTGCAAAGCATGTGTGACGTCATCAAGTTTCAAATGCCCTTAAAAATTTTATTTTATTTCTTCAAATTTTTAAATTATTTGATATATTTTTTAAAATATAATTTTAATAAAATTAGAAGAAATTTTTAATTAGAAATTTTTTTCTATTTTAATTTAGAAATAAAAATTTATTTAATTTAAAAATCAATTTCTAATTAAATTTAAAGATAAAATTTTTGTAAAAAAAATAAAATAAAATAAAAGTTTTGTATCTTTTAATTCTAAAATAAAATTTTTTATTTAAAGATATAAAGTTTTTGTTTAACTTTTAAAAATTAATTTTCAACTTACATGAAAAAATTTTGTATTTTAATTTTAAAATAAAATTTTTCATTTTAATTTAATTTGAAAATTATTATTTGTTTGACTTGCAAAATCTATTTTTTATTTTCATTTCACGATCAATGTTTTGTTTAAATTTTTTAATTTTATTGATTTTTAACTTACGTATAAAAATTCTTTACTGTAATTTAAAAATAAAATTTTTTTATTTTACTTTTAAAACTTAATTTTTTTATTCTAATTTAAAAATTAGTTTCTTAATTTAATTATTTAATTTATTATTTAACTTTCTTACTTTAATTGTTTATTTATATTTTAAAATTGATTTTTAATTTAGAAGTTTAATATTTTGTTTTAATTTCAAAATTGATTTTTAATTTTAAGTTAAAAATTAATATTTTATTTTGAATTGAGAATAAAAAAAATTCTATTTGACCTTAAAATGTAATTTTTAATTTTTAAACCGTTTATTGTTACTTTATTTGAATATTTGATATTGTTATATATTATTATTTTACAAAGAATTAAGATATTGTGTAATTAATAAAAATTGTTATTTTTGTTTATAAGTAACAATTATTTAAATCAGTATAAATGTTTAAAAATTATTATAAAATCAAAATTTTGTAAATTTTGTTCTTAAAATTAAATATTCAAAATTTGATTAATTTAAATGTTGTTATTATTTACAAGTATTGTTAATATTTATAATAAAAAAATAATAGAAATATAAATTTTTAATAAATACATTTAAAGAATCTAAATTATAAAAAATATTTATTTAAAAAATAAATAATTTTAAATTTTTTAAAAATATTAAATTAAAAATGAATTATTAAGATATTATTACTAGAAAAATAAATAATTCTGTTTATTTAAATTAAAATTTTGAAAATATTTAAAATATTATACATATTTTAGTTGTTCTTTTAAAATCTTTAGAAACTGTGAAAAGAGTGAAAAACAAAAAGTTAAACTCGACAATATGTGTTATTATAACGGTAAAGAAAATTTTTGTTTCTCCACACAGGATGGAACTAATCCAGAGTCAACCGTACCGGAAAAAGCATCGAAGGAAGAATACGCAGTGGCAAAATGGATACGCAACAATGTACCATCGAAAAAAACAAAATTCGACAGAGATCATATCGTCGAATATTTCACTGGTGCACGCGCCGTTGATGCATTACTCGACAATTCACCATGGAGTAAAACATTATTTGAAAATCGTCAGCAAGTCGTTGATTTTCTCGATTTAATGTTGCGACATAAATTTTTCCATCGTGCGAAAAAAGTTGTCATCACTGAGGATGAATTATGTAAAATTCGTGGCATTAAGAAAAAATCGAAAGAAATAAAGGAGGAGAAAAAAGTGTCCGATAAAGAGAAGGAAAAGGAGAAGGAGAAAGAGAAGGAGAAGGAGAAGGAAAAAGAGAAGGAGAAGGATAAAGAAAAGGAGAAGGAAAAAGATTCAGAGAAGGAGAAAACGAAGGAAACTGATAAGGACGAAACTAAGGATGTTGATGAAAAGCCCGAGGAGAAGAAAAAGAAACCGAAGGTATATGAAATTTAAAAAAAAACATATACAGAGAAGCAGGTGCAAAGCGGTTACATCTTAGGTTTTGTGGCCTAAAAAATATTTTCTTTTCAGCTGAAATCATGATTTACATACTTGACAAAACAGGCAAAACTTTTTCGAGTTTAAAAACCACCAAAGAAACATTTTGTTCTAAACGATGAGAATTTTATTATTATAATTTTATTGTCTAACCGAATATTATGACGAGAATCTCCTAAACACCAAAGAAACATTCTGTTCTAAACGATGAGAATGTTATTATTACAATTTTAGATGAAAAATATTTTATTTATCAGCTAAAACCCTTTCGCCCTTAAAAACCACCAAAGAAACATTTTGTTCTAAACGATGAGAATTTTATTTTTACAATTTTATTGTCTGACCGAATATTATGAGCAGACTTCGCACTAATCTACTAAAACCTACTATTTACTACTTTTTTTACGTTATGCTACTATTTTGGTACTTTTTAGATTTTAGCCACTAAAAGCTACTATTTCTGTTTTTTTTTTAATTTACACTACTTTAAATTCGCTAATACTAAGAACCAAAAAACTATTTTCAAAAATTATAATCAAATTCTTTAAAACGATTAAATTATTTTCAAAAAATATTCCAAATTCAATTATTTTCAATATCTAGTATTTTCGCAAAATTTCGCAAAAGAATTCAATTATTTAAAAAAAATTGATGAAATTCATCTAAAATTCAATTATTTACATAAATAATAAAATTTCCACAGGTATTTCATTAATTTAGAATAGAATTTTAAAAAAAAACTCGAAAAAATCAATTATTTAACAAAATTTTTATTCAATTCTTCACAATAATTCAATTACTTTCACTAATAATAACATTTTTCATCAAAATTCAATTCTTTAAAAAATTTTTGATAAAATTTTAAGCAAGAATTCAATTATTTTTATAAATAATAAAACTCATCGAAGAATTTCAATTATTTTTAATATTATTTTAAATTAATTAATCGAAAAATTCAATTATTTTCACAAATAAAATTGTGCACAAGAATTCAATTATTTAAAATAAAATTTTTATAATATTTATTATACTTTGAAAAACATAATTATTTAAAACACTGTTTATAACATTCTAATAAAGAACTCAATTATTTTCAAAAGTTAAAAAAAATTTCACTGAAATTCAATTCTTTTTAAACATTTTAATAAGAATGTTCGCAATAATTGAATTATTTTCATAAATAATAAAATATTCTTCACATAAATTCAATTATTTTTGAAAATTGTAATAGAATCCTTTGCAACTATTCAATTATTTTCATAAATAATAAAATTCATCGCAGGATTTCAATTATTTTTAATAAAATTTTACGGGAATTGCTTAAAAAATGTAATTATTCTTAAAAATTTCATTTCAATTCCTTGAAAAAATCAATTATTTAAAAAAGTGTTTTTTTAAATTCTTTGGAAGAATTATTATTTACAAAAATATTAGAATTTTTCACAGGAATTCAATTATTTTCAAATATTTTTAATAAAATTGTTCAAAAAAATCAATTATTTTAAATAAAATTTTAATTTAATTTTTTTTAAATAATTCAATTATTCTCTCAGATTTTGATAAAATTCTTCCTAAGAATTCAATTATTTACATAAATAATTCTTCGAAAGAATTCAATTATTAAAGATGAATAACAAAATTATTCTCGAGATTTCAATTGTTTTGAGGCATTTTAATAAAATTCTTTGCAAAATTCAATTATTTTTGAAAGTAATAAATTTCTTCTTGTAAATTCAATTATTTTAAAAAATTCTAATACAATCGTTCACAAGAATTCAATTATTTTCATAAATAATAAAATACTTTTTAGGAATTAAGTTATTGTCTTTGTCAAGTTTAATTTTTCGATAGCTACTTTTATACTATTTTTTTTAGTTTGAAAGCCACTTTTTTAAAATTAATTTGAGTTCGAAGTCTATAAATGTAACTCAATACCTACTTTTTCCAAAAACTAAATTACTTCCAAATATAAAAGTTTTTGTCTATTTGTTATCCTTGATTAAAAAAAAATCTTCGACACTCGAATCTTAGGTCAGATTTACAATTTTAAAAATGGTGGATCCAATATGGCGTTCATTTAAAAGAAAACCTCAGATTTTAATGAAACTTGTTACTTTGAGGTTTTTAAGGACGTAGAATTCGAATTTGAAGTCAGATTTTTAAAATCCAGGATATAGAATAGCGTTGAAATTTCAGGACTTGGTGATTTGGTAGACGTGGAAAATTATAATTATGTTAACATAATATTAATGTTTTCGTTATTATTAACAAGACAATTTTTTAAAGGTTCGTTTGGAAATGCACATGAATCAGTATTTTGCTGACTGTTGTGACGCCTATGTTTGGATTTATGAGCCAATACCAGTTTATTATTGGTTCTTTGGTACACTATTGGTACTTGGTGCAATTGGCGTTTGTCTATTTCCACTGTGGCCATTGACAGTGCGCCATGGTGTTTGGTACTTGAGTATAGCGGCTGCTGGATTTTTGGTATTTATTTTGGCACTAATGGTGCTACGTATTCTGGTCTTTTGTCTTCTTTGGGTAATTACATTTGGCAGGCATCATCTTTGGCTGTTGCCAAATCTCGTTGAGGACGTTGGCTTCTTTGCCTCGTTCTGGCCATTGTATCAGGTACTTTTTTACTTTCTTTTTCATTAAAATGTTCTATTTTCATTTCTTAATAATAATAATAATAATAATAATAATAATTAGTATTATTAATTTTTTTTCTATTTATTATTATAATTCGAATGCGAATTTGTAAGAAAATAAAATAAATATTTTTTAGTATGAATACTGCGGTCCCGCGGGGTCAGACAAGAAATCTTATAAAAAGAAAAAAAAGAAGAAAGACAAGGATTCTGATAGTGAGGATGCTCCTTTAACGCAAGCGTAAGTTTTATTATTATTCTTATTAAACAGAAAATTGTCGACAAATTTCAACTTAAGTATGTGCAAAAAATAGAGATTTGTCGGAAAAAATACAAAAATTTTTTTAAATTATTTGATTTTGACTTTAGGATTTTCAAACAAAAAATTCAAAATTGTTTGGTTTTCGAAATAAAAACTAACGAACTAAAGAGTACAATGAGATCGTAAATTTAAGCTTAAAACATACAGTTTAAGATCCATATTATGCGCAAGACCAAAAAAAATAGTGAATTTTGAGAAAAGAGGGGGTAAAAACTCTAAAAAAATTTGTTTCGTTATTTTCGATATGGTAGTGGTTTTCTATGTATTTTTATCCTCTAATGACGATCCCAGGTTCCAAAATTACATAACACGTCAGGATTTTGAGAAAAATGGGAGTAGACTCCCCAAAATAGGTTTTTAAAAATTTACCCCCACTTTTCTCTAAATATTGATGTGTTATAAACTTCCACGAGATTTAGAATTAAAGCTTAAAACGTCCGCTTCATGACTCATAAGCGCAAGACAAAAAATACAGAATTTTGAAAAAAAGAGGGGGTAAAAACCATATAAAATTTTATTTTCATATTTTCGACATGGGATTTGTTATCAACGTATTTTTGTCCTCTGAACACGATCCTGGGTTTGAAAGTTGCCTAGCACGTCACGTTTCTGATAAAATTGTGAATTTAGAATTAGAAACGTGTTTTTTTGGTATTTATCCTCACTTTTCTTAAAATCATGAAGTGTTATAAACTTCCACGACGTTTAAAATTAAAGCTTTAAACGTTCGCTTTATGAACCATAAATGCAGAACAAAAAACGTAAGGAATTTTGAAAAAAGTGGGGGTAAAGTCTCCCAAAATAGGTTTTTTAAAAATTTATCCCCACTTTTCTCAAAATCTTGATGTGTTAAAAACTCCCTCTTGGTTTCAAATTAAAACTTACAATGTCTGCTTTATAACCGATAAGCGCAGGACAAAAAAATTACAAAATTTTGAAAAAAGTGGGGGTAAAAACCCTATAAAATTTTTTTTTCTTATTTTCGATATGGGATTGGTTTTCAATGTATTTTTGTCCTCTGAACACGATCCTGGGTTCGAAAGTTGCCTAGCACTTCAGGATTTTGATAAAATTGGGAATTTAGTCCTAAAAACGTGTTTTTTTGGTATTTATTCTCAACTTTCTTAAAATCCTGACGTATTATAAACTTCCACGACGTTTAAAATTAATGCTTTCAACGACCGTTTTATGAACCATACGTGCAGGACCAAAAAATGTAAGGAATTTTGAAAAAAGTGGGGATAAAGTCTCCGAAAATAGGTATTTAAAAATTTAACCAACTTTTCTCAAAATCCTGAAGAGTTAAAGACTCAAGCAAGGTTACAAATTAAAGCATAAAATGTCCGCTTTATGATCCATAGGCGCAAGACCAAAAAATAGGTAATTTTGAAAAAAGTGAGGGTATAGATTCCAAAAATTCATTTTTTTAAATTTATCCCCGCTTTTCTCAAGATCCTGAAGAGTTAAAGACTCAAACAAGGTTACAAATTAAAGCTTAAAATGTCCGCTTTATGATCCATAGGCGCAAGACCAAAAAATAGGGAATTTTGAAAAAAGTGGGGGTAAAAACGGTATAAAAATTTTTGTTTTCTTATTTTCGATATGGGATTGGTTTTCAACGTATTTTTGTTCTCTAAACACGATTCCGGGTTCAAAAGTTTCCTAGCACGTCAGAATTTTGAGAAAATTTGGGATTTAGACCTAAAAAAGTGTTTTTTCGTTATTTATCCTCACTTTTCTTAAAATCCTGACGTATTATATACCTCAAGAAGGTTTAAAATTAAACCTTAAAACGTCCGCTTTATTAACCATAAGTAAAAGACTGAAAAAGTAGATAATTTTGAAAAAAGTGAGGGTAAAGACTCCCAAAAAAGGTTTTTAAAAATTTACTCCCATTTTTCTCAAAATCCTGAAGAGTTAAAGACTCCCACAAGATTTTAAATTAAAGCTTAAAACGTCCGCTTTATGACTCATAGGCGCAGGACCAAAATAGTAGGGAATTTTGAAAAAGGTGGGGGTAAAAACCCTATAAGAATCTTTTTTTTCTTATTTTCGACATGGGATTGGTTTTCAACGTATTTTTGTCCTCTGAACATGATCCCAGGTTCCAAAATTGCTTAGCTCATCAGGATTTTCAGAAAATTGGGGATTTAGACCTAAAAACGTGTTTTTTCGTTATTTATCCTCACTTTTCTGAAAATCCTGCCATGCTAGTGAATCTTAAGAGGCGGAATCGTATTTAGATAAAAAATACATCGGAAACGATTTCGATGTCAAAAATACAAAATCAAAACTTTGTTACTAGTAAATTTTGCCAACTAAGAATATTAAAAACTAGAAATTTCAGTTGGATAATTATTTTCCTTTTAATTTTTTTTTCCACAGAGATGAAAAATCAGAATCTTCCGATTCTCCAAAGGAAGTGGAATTAACGCAACAAGAGGCAAATATGGACGAGGGCACTCAGGGAATTGAATTGCAAGCGAGCCAAGAAAATAGTGAAGAAGGTTCCGAGAGTGATAAATCCAATACAGGCGGTGACTTCGAAATGCTTTGAGATTAGTGCCTAATTGATTAAATTTTAGTTTCTTTATAATGATTTTTTTCTCTCAATTTTTCTTTGAGATTCTTGTTTCTTCTCAAATTATTATTATTATTTATCTCTTCTTATTACAAAAAATAGCCCAAATGCCAATTAACGCCAATAAGTCCGAGAAGCGAACAACAAATCTTAAGAAACGCATAAGTATATATTTTTTATCGAGTCGTTTTTTTTTATTCTCTCGTTCTTTTTGACAGACATTGTATGTTTTTTTTTTTTTTTTTTTTTGAAGACGTGTTGTTTTTTGTACAACTTGTAATTTTTTTTTATCTTGTTAGATCTTACATAAATTGTGGAGGGGGGGATGAAAAGCGTGACAGGATAGTTCGAAAGTACGATGTACAATTTAAAAAAAAAAAAATTATCTACGGCCGTCGTAATTAGGGAATAAAATCTATTTTTCCGTCCGTTTCCTTTATATTTGAAAACAAACGGATCTTGATTTTTGAATATATTTTTTTTTGATTTCGAAATTGATTTTATTTTAATTTTTCTTTTTTTGGGAAAAAAATACATTTTGATTTTTTTACTATAATTGTACTGTAATTGTACCAGTGATGATTAACAAATTATGAAAAAACCAATAGAAAGTTTTTCTTTCCTTTTTTTTACTTTTGCATATAATTGCAAATATTTTTTAACGATAAACAATAATTAATTTATGATGACGGTTTTTATCCATAAATTCATCGAAGAAGATAAATCTTTATTTCGAATACAAAAAGAAAAAAAAATATATATATTATGTCTTCTTTGATGAATAATTGGACAACGACGGCCAGAGATTTTTTTTTATTATAGTAAATAACACATTTAGTGAAATAGTTTTTTGTTTATTTATATTTTTACTGCGAAAAGAAAAAGGACAATTTTTATCTTAAATGCAAAGATTGTCGCATAAACTCCAAAATAAAAATAAAAAAAAAACACTTACATTGATTCATATACAGTGTAATAAAAAATATGTACAAAATAAAAACTGTATTTTATTTTTTGGGGGGTAAAAGGGAGAATTTGAATTTGAATTTGAATTTAATTTTTAGTTTGAAAATCACGAATACAAAGTAGAAAGCATGAAAAAAAGTTTAAAAAGTATTTTTAATTAAAATCTAAATTTGAGTTTTCGCGCCTTTTAATCTACTTTACCGACAGGACCTAGATTGGAAACTCGAGGTGGAAATTTATTCTCTGCAATTTTCGACTATTTTATTTATTTTCAATGGATTAATGTAAATTAATGATAATAATAATAATAAATATAATATAAAAATCGTTTTCTAAATGTTAGGAAGCTACAAATTTTTTCTTAACTTATTTAAAATATTTTTACACCGCAATTATATTTTTATAGGTTATGTAACTCTGCCAACTTTTACTCTTTAAATTACGGGAAAAGAACTTTCAACTTTGGATTTTATATTTTCCGTGTCTAATGATAATTTAAAAGAAAAGAAAGTTTTTTTTTCATTGTTACGACTGACGAGTGGCCCCCGATGACGTTGAGATCCTGGATGAGGCCATGGGTAAGTAAAGAATCGTACGAAGCAAAATTAACTGCCCATATTTCATCTGAGACGTACAATAAATATTGTTCTCCGCCAAGGGCACGGATATGCGTTTTACGTGCCATAGTGTATATACATATACATATATATATTCTTTATTATTATATACACCACAAATACAAAGGCATTATTTCCTAGTGGGTAATAACAATATCGACCAAGAATTTGAAACAAGCGCATTACCTCGCGGGGCATCGCGCACGCAGGTAAAGGAGAGATCCTCCTTATGATAAATTACAAATTTTCCTCGCATTTTATATCCTTTTGTGTTATATATTTCTTGGTTGGGTGTCTGTGTGTATAATTGACTTGTAAATAAATTATTTTGTTTTAGACAAGGGAAAAATGTTAAATATAATAATTTACTAAGTTTTTGAAACAATTTTCGAAGAATATAAAAAAAAATTAAATTTTGCATTCACTTTCACTTCATTTTTTTCTTATCATTCACTTCAATTCAGCTCAATGTCATACTTTACATCACTTCACTTGACTTGACTTCGCACTTTCACTTCACTTTTTCTTAACATTCACCTAAATTCATCTCAACTTCACTTCACTTGACTTAACTTCACTTTCACTTCACTTTTTCTTAACATTCACTTCAATTCATCTCAATTTTACTTCACTTCACTTTCATCTCACTTATTCACTTCACTTCACTTTTACCCCACTATCCTTCAGTTCACCTCACTTTCACTTCACTTAAACCTCAATTTCATTTGACTTAACTTCCATCACACTTCACTTTCACCTCATACTTTAAGGGAAGCCCCTTTAGTTTGATAGTGAAGTGAAGTGAAAGTGATATGGAAGTAAAGTGAAGTTACAGTTGAGTGCAATGAAGATTGAGTGAAAATGAAGTGAAAGTAGTGAATTGAGGTGTAAACGGGGTGAAAGTGAAGTGAAGTGAGAGTTAAGTGAAACTGAGGTGAAAATGAAGTGAAAGCAGTGAAAAATTCAAAAATAAGGTGAAAAGGGCTTGAAAATAAAGTGAAGTGAGAGTTAAGTGAATAAGGGGTGAAAATGAAGTAAAGTGAAGAGTTAAGTGAAAGTGGGGAAAAATGAAGTGAAGTTAAATTATTACCTTTAAAATAAGTTAAAGGACATAAAGCTGAAACTCGCACCAGGGTTGCCACAAAAAATTAATTTTCTTTTTCCCTGAACTTCAAGACAAAATTTTGATTTTTTCCCTGACCCTAAAAAATATTCTGATTCACTCTATAGAAGAAAAAAAATCATTAACGAATGTATAAATACAATTAATTTTAATTAAAAAATTTATTTTTTTAATGTAAATGAAATATTTTAAGTTAAATTAAAAAAAAAAAAAAAAAAAAAAAAAAAAAAAAAAACAATATGTATGATGAAAGTAATAAATTGTAAATTTATTAATGAATTTCTTCAAATGCAAAATTATTCGAAAATATCAATAACTTTCTTTTTAAATAAATATCTAATCATTATTATTTTTCCATTAGAATTAATATTTTCAAATATTTCAAATTCAAACCTTTTTGAAATTCAACAACTTCTGATAATAATTTAAAAAATGGCCGTGTGATATAAAATCATTATTTCATAATAATTATAATGTACGAATATTGTTACTGTAATTTCTTCAAAATTATTTTTATAATTTCAATTTATTAAATTATAATTTTCTACAATTTTTAACTACAGAATTGTTAATTAGTATGAAAAATTCTGATTTTCTAAAGATTTTAATTTGAAACCTTTTCAAAATTCAATTATTTCTATAAAAATTCACGCTATATAATATACTTTTAATATTCAATTATTATCTAAAATTTTAATTAAAATTCATTTTTAAATGAATTTTTATTAGAAAATTCTACGAGAATTCAATTATTTAAATATACGTAAATAAAATGCAAATAAATAATTTATTAAATAATTGAATCTTTCTTAAAATTGAATTCTCATAAAGAACTTTATCAACAAAGTTTAAAATTATTGAAAAATAATTGAATAATTGAATTCATTCGACGAATTTTAATAAAATAATTACATTTTTCGAGGAATTCGATTAAAATTGTATTAAAAATAATTGAAATTTTGCAGAGAATTTTATTAAAATTTTTGAAAATAATTATTGAATTTTGAAGAGGAATTTTATTATTTTAATTAGTGACTGACTTTTTGCTTTTGAATTAGTAAATTTTACTAATAAATTAGTAGAAATAACTATTTATTAGTAAAATTTAATAGTAATTTCTACAAATTAGTAATTAATTTACAAATTAGTAAATTAATTTACTAAATAGTAATAGAAATTTCTTCTAGTTTATTAGTAAAACTTACTAATTTAAAAGCAAAAAGTCAGTCACTAATTTAAATAAGTATTGTTTTACTAATTCAAATTTAGAGAGAACGAATTTAAAAAAATTGAATTCTTTCGACGAATTTTAATAAAATTTTTAAGAATGATTACATTTTTCGAAGAGTTTGATTAACATATTGTATTAAAAATAATTAAAATTATGTGATGAGTGTTATTCATTATGAAAATAATTAAATTCTTGAAAGAAATTTTATTATTTATGGAAATAATTGAAATCTGCGTTTAAAAAATTTTAGTAGGATTTATAAAAATAATTGAATTATTGCGAAGAAGTTTATAAAAAATTATTGGTAAATAGTTTAATTCCTGTAAAATTTTTATTAACCAAGAATTTTATTAAAATTTTTAAGAATAATTGAATTTTGGAGAATTTTATTAAAAAATTGAAATTTGGACGAGTATTTTTGAAAATTTTTGAACATAATTGAATTTTTGAGAGGAATTTTATTACTTTTGAAAATAATTGAATTTCTACAATCATTTGTAACTTCTCAAAAATTTAATTTTTTGAGTATTTTTAACTAAAATTCTTCTAAACATCCATTATTTTTCATAACTTATTAAATAAATACTAAAAAAATTAATTAATTTCAAAAGAATTTGAATTATCAAAATTTTTCAGACATCTAAGTTATCTTTAAAATTTTTAGTTATAAATTCATTCAAAATTGAAATTTTATAAAATTTTAGATTAAAATCACTTGAAGTTCATCTATTTATGAAAATTGTAAACGCAACTCTTTTAAAATTCAATTAATTTTGAAATATTTAAAAAAAAATTAATATTCATTAAATAATTTCTAAAATTTTAATTTTTTCCAGTACTTTTAATAAAAAAACCCTAACTTTTCCATCAATTCCCTGACCTGTGGCAACCCTGTGGCACTCACTTAATTTAGAAATTTCCAATAAACAATTAAAAGTTTGCATTTAAATGAAAATTACAATGTTTTGTCAATAAGACATATTCGTTAAATATTAAAAACATAATTTAAATTATTGCATTTTTTTAATTATAAAAAAATGTTGTAAGGGATAAAATAGATTTTCGTTAACATTCATAATTTTCTAATTATTTATAATCAAATTTAGAGTGTTTGACAATTACTATAAACGGATTTCAATTTTTAATTTACATTTCTTTTCATTATTTTTATCGTCTTCAATTTTTCTCAAGGCTTAGAATTAATTTCTTCACTAAATAAATTGATATTTAAGTTCTCGTCTTAAGAAATAGCTTCATTAGTGTTTTTGTTTTAAAGAAATAAGTGTCAGGAACTTATTTATAAAAATTATGAAAATTATGAAAATTATGAAAAAATTGGCTGAAAATAATAATTTTGAAAATCAGAGAATATTTTAATACACAAGTACACATTATAGTTGGATGTAATAATAAATTTCAAAATTAAAAAAAAATCTCGAAAAATCGCGCAATTTTTGTAAAATTATTTCTTTATTAAACTTATTCTTATAAATGCCGGCAAAATAAAATATAAAACCCGTTTCGTGAATTGAATTAATATTTACTCCTCCCACGCGCACATTCATATCGAGATGAAGCGAAGAAAAACCGTTAAAGTAATAAAAAGGCGGAAAAAAACAAATATTATTCACACCACATACGAGAAATCCTTTTTAAAAAAAAAAAACTTTATAAAAAAAAAATTTAATATTAATTTACAAAAAAAAAAAAAATTTGAGAGAACATTAAAAGTTTGATAATTTTTTTCTTTTTCGGTTAATTTTTTTTAGTGGGGTGGGAAAAGTATTCGTTGAATATTATTTGGAGAAGGGGTAAAAAAAGGTAAACTAAATATAAAAGAAGAAGAAACCCAAAAATAAGGAGAAAAAAAAGCTCAAGAAACTTCGAGTATATAGAGTGCGGTTTGTGGTTTCAACGAAGGGATTTAAAAAAAAACGTGTCCTCCTCCCCTCTCTCACTGTCTCTCACTACTTCTTCACATTTTTTTTTATTTTCTTCCTTTTTTGAGACCTGCGAGTCTCGTTCCCTTTTCATCCTCGCAGAATTATCCTTCAACCGCTCAT